TTATTATGCATAATAACTGACAAGTTTAGTTATTATGCATAATTCCTAAAATATCTAGTTATTATGCATAATAACGTATTTCGGATATTAGCTGTAACAGATATACTTAATTGTATTTACATCATAAAATTTATTTATTTTACTTCATACTATGTCAAGTTTGACGTTTTACTGGATCGAACGATTCCGGTAAAATCAAAAAAACGGACAAGTCTGATAAAATTGAGCCAAAAAGAACAAGTGTTCCATTTCCGGAAGCGGCCACTGACCCTTTTGGGTCTCTTTTGCTTTACCTGTTATTGTAAATACAAATGTAAATTTAGTACTTCTGTAACCGTCCTGTATTAAACATCGAAACCGAACGCTATCTATTATCTCGCACGCAAGAAAACAAAGGTCCTTGGAGCAATATCAAAGTACAATTTGGTATCACATTGTCGTATCAACCAGATTACAAAAAATACTGGTAGGACGAGCCGAGTTGCACAAACATTGGTCCTTCGAGACGGATTGCACAAAACATTCGTCCATCGAGTCGGATTATACAAAACAATAAGTCCTGTAAAGTGTTATAAGTACTATGTGTTTAAACATATGATGCTGATTTGCACGAATAAACAAATTAAAACATTTACCAAAGAGCGGTTGCTAACGATGTCAGAAAAAGTGACTCGATTTGGATTTTTTCTCAAAATAATAATAATTTTATCGAATAAAAAAGTATGTTGACAGTATGAAATAAAATACATAACAACATACGTCCGGTAACTCTTTTCGCAGTACTCGTTTCGAAATTAAAGACTCGGCTACCTACTCGTCCTGAAACATACCACTCGTACTGTAAAATTTGAGCTACCGGACCGGACCGTATTTAGAATAACTTTAATTACCATTTATGTTTTCATCAACACTAACAAGTATTTAAAATAACAAGTAATAATTTGTTTGTATTGTTTATTCATTATAATAATTCCATTTATTCACCAGAAACTTTTAAACGAAATAAAATCTAATCGACTAGAAATAACGGCAAAGTTGTGTTAGGCTCATCTGGCAACGTTGTAAATTATATAAATGCTTACTATGAGATTTTTACACATTTTTTTCGTCGCCCTCTGTCGAGTGGTAGCTTTATTAAATGTATTGTTGCTGTGATTTGGGTTATCTACGCGCGCGATTGGTGTCCAAGCTTTTCGCCGGCGTTTGACGGCCGACTGTTGGTGCGCCATCTCTTGTTCGCCGGCCGTTGGCCTGTTCGCTCCAAACAATAGCATGGGTCTATCTATATGTATTTAATCAATGGTGGGGATGATCTTGCAAATTTTGGTTAGCGTTTTACCATCTACACGATACTCCTAATAAGTATATTAAAAATTTAACAACAATTGGTCCGGTAGTTTAAATTATCTGTCTAATGAAAATCGACACAGCGCGGACAGATGGCAAACGGCAGACAGACAGACGGAGACTCGTATGACTCGATTACAATACTTCCTTAGCTTATGCTCGGGAAATAAAAATTGATATAAAGTTGTTTAAACAGAACTTCCCTCGTTCCCGGAGCATGATCAATCAAATCCAGTTTTAAGTGAGTTCTTCTTAATATATTAATTCTTCATAGAATTTTGTCATAAAAAATTTAGCAGTAAATATACCAATTTGTACTACAGTGTATGCTTATACTTTCAGAATAATGAGATAACCCATTTTTGATTTACCCAATACAATAAATTGCTTCATTCTTCATTTTTTCGGGATATCCTGTATAAGCAATTCTACGATATAATGGAATTGACCTAAAAATATTTTGAGATGACGTCATTAAATTTTTGAGAGGACAAATAAATGAATTTTCATTAGCAATTTACCATATTTTGGGTAAAAATCTCAATTTCAAAGGTGAAAAATAAAAGCGGATTAATAAATCCCAGACTGCATATTATTTTTTTTTAATTTTTAGATGACATCAATTTTTTAGGAAGGATAAACAGATACATTTTGATTAAAAATTGACCATGCATACAACAACTTCAAAACGTCTGAAATATTTCAATGTATTTAATTCAGGGTTTTGCAGTCTCTGATTTAATCAACAAAATAAATTGACAAACAGCCAGACGGAAACGGGAGACCCATTTTTTCGTACTCTAGGGGCCACAATCCATCAAAAAATATGAAATCAACCAGTCGTCCAATGGACTTACGCTCAGGAAGTAAAACTTTAATAACTATATACAATATATAATATCTTCACAGCTAATACATATAAAATTTATTACTAAAAAACAATAGACAATTACAATTTCTGTTAATCAGTGTAAATATCGATAAGAAAGATAGCAATCGTAACACAAGCACTGAGACAATCACACGCTTCCGCTGTGATTTTTTTAATTAAAATGATAAGATAAAAAGTTTATATTCTATATTTTTATATTCTCCGTAATAGCAACTCAATGTCTTGATAAACAAATCTACTTACTTCAAGAAAAAAAAAAAAAAAAACAAAAATATGAACACTACTATAAACTACAGGAAAAAACTGGTCGAAACTTTCGACAGCACTTCCCTCGCCCCTGTGAAGATTACCTCTATAAATTAAAATCAATCACTACCACTCACAGTGTAAGAAAAAATAAAGTCCATGTTGGACGCGAAGGCCCAACTGTTTTCGAGTTACAAATCCGAATATAGGAATATATTATTGAGTAACATTTAAATAATATTAATGTAACAATTTTTTAAATTATGTCATCAAATTGTTGGTGGAGGTGTTTAGACAAATTTTGGTTAGCGTTTTACCATTTACACGATATTCATAATAAATATACAGAAACAGGAGACCCATTGTTTCATATTCTAGAAGTCATGACACGTCCAGAAAACATGAAACTAGCCACATTACAATACTTTCTGAGATTACATTCGGGAAGTAAAAACGAACATTTTAAAATTAATGGTCAATATTTTTATCTTTACAGAATTTAAATTTTTAAAACATATTTTATTTAACTATTTTTCCCCATTAATTAATTTTCAAAATATAGGAATAACTTTCTTTGTAGCGAAATAAACCTAAAATTTCACACTATTTCAAAAGACGTGTTTTTTTTTAAATTAAAGATCCATTGTCTACCGAATTATGTTAATTTGTTGATAACGTACGAAAGTGAATATAAACGACAATTCCAAACTAACACAAGCATATTAAAAAAAATTGCATACTGAAGAGTAAGATTTAAACCGCATTCTACCAAGAGACCAATAAAAAACAGAATCGAAGTCAGTCAGGGATTTTTGAAGAGTTATCTTTGATAGAATTTTGGTCTTATCAGATTACCGTTAACTTAAAAGTTAGATTATAAAAACAAAAAAATGTTTCTTACAATATAGAACATAAATTCCCAAACTTTTATTTTATGCACACAAGTAAAACGATTTTTTTTTGGTAGTTTAAAGATCACTTTCTAAATCAGGTACGTTAGTGCATTGGGACTTCCCAAAGCAAAATTATATTTTTTGAAGTATGTAGTAAACCTAGAAGCATTTATACCAATTGACATTTTAGATAAAATTTTTGAAATTGTTGTACATGAAATTAGCTTTAAATTTTCACAGCAAAGTCAAATATTTGAAAGTAAAAAATTAAGTGCGTGTCATTTAAACGTTGTTTTATTTGATGTTCATCGTCATACTTACTCTTTGACAATTTTGGGCAAAATATTTTTTTACGTATAACACTGCAACACGTATTCGTTTATCTTTATAAATAAAAAAATTAGAATAGGGGATATGTTACGTGAAACACCTGTACAATTTTTACCTAATAAAATGTTTTCCTGAAATGAAAATTAAAGATAAAATATATGAAATAAGTATGTTCAACGACTCAAATGTCTCATAAATAATAATTTACCATACAAACAATGGTTTCAATAATCGATATAATAATAACAATTTTGTAACTATGTAAACGCATTATATTTTTGGCAACAAAAAAGTTACAAATTCATCAAAAACTTTCTGATCGATAAAACGATTTTTCTTTTGCATGAACTAAATTTTAATGACATGAGATTTTTTGCTTGATATTATAAAATTATAACGTCGGATACTTTTAGCGGAAATCTTACTGCTTGAGACAGCATGTAAAAATAGATCTGCATAGAATATTTAAAGTCAAAGCACACAAAGAAATGACGAACCAAAAATAGCACAATTCACGAGGAACGAAAAACAAAATTAGAGTAAGGTAATTAAGGTCCCCAGATTCCTCAATTTGATTAGGCAATTGTTACAGTCTAATTATGTTATACAAAAGTGTTTTTATGAAGTTTTTTCTAAATATAATTTCCTACAATTCGTCCAATATAATTTCATAAAAAAATTACACATTTACCTACATTTCTGTCTTATTAAATCTGATTTAACAATTAATGTGTTGATGCAAATATTTGGATTAGCAAATATGTAACAATACCTACTTTCAGGAGTATCTATCTATTCACACTTCATGTTTTCGTGCACACGCGTAATTTAATTTTTAATTGAACCCATAAACAATAAAAACACAATCATTCATAAGAATCAAAACCCATTTGATAACGCAATAACTTTAGGCCACCATATTAACTCTAGAATAAAATCTAAATTGAGTCACCGTTCATTTTATCACTGAATGCAGATAAGAGGTACATAATAAAACTGTTATAAATATTTTTAAACACCTTATTGAAAATGACTCTAAAAATAAAACTTAATAAATAGATAACAGCCAATGACAAATAACTCGCGGTCTATATTAAAATAAAACAACATATTTATCTTGCCGTTTTACTAATTAATCTTTATCTAAATATGGTATCACACCTATAAAAATTAAACTGTTATCAGTTGTCCACTCGTAAACGTTATTCATTTTTAGTATTGCAATAAATATGGTGAAGTATCTACCACTAGCTTTTATGGCGTTTGATTAACAGCAAAAAAAATCTACTTACTGGGTGATGTTCTCCTGGCCACTGATGGTAAAGATGCATGGATAAGCACATTTGCTGTCTGAGTTGATCCTTGTGGATTTTCACCTTGAGAATAAACATTAGCAATTGGTATAGTTTGTGATGAAACCACAGCTGATTGCCTTTGATTCACTACTGCAGTTGGCACATTCACTAAAATTATGATATAAAATTGTGCATAAATGACAGAAAGTGACTTACCAGTTCTATTTGCAGCTGTAACAACTGCTTGTGTTGTTTTGATAGGAGCAGGTAGGGGAGTAAAATGAATGGCACCTACACAGAAAAACAATTATTTTTTTTTTTTTTCAAAAAGAACAATAATGACCTTGAGCAGGTTGTGTTATCACTTTAGTTGCTTGAGTATGTATACTCCTAGGCTGGGAAGTATTAGCCAACACAACAGGATGAAGATTAAGAGTCCTGGTAGTGATATTAGAATTTGACACTTGTGCGGGAGCCGCCCCCACCGATAATCGGCCAATCGTAACAGTCGGTTGTGTTGAAACATTTCTATTTGTAGTTGTACCAATCACAGTTGATTGTTGCGGCTGTGAAGACACTGCTGCTATTCTTGCTCCTGAAGTCAAAACTGTGGCTTGAGGAGTGACAAGACGTGCGCCAGTCTGTGTAACATTTACAGGGATTGTCAAACGCGCTGTAGTCACCTATGAATTTCAAATTATCATTTGTACTATCACTTTCCAACTCTCACCACTGGTCTAGCTGCAGTACTTTGCCTCTGATTCTGCGCTGAACTGGCGACCGTCAGTCTTGGCGTTGCCGTAAACTGGCCACTAGTATTAGCACTGTAAACCACTGCTTGGGTCCTTGAAGGTAGCACTTGTGCGATAGTAACTGTATTGCCTAACCCCTGAATGCCAGTTGCATTCTGACCAGGTTTGAATGAATGTCCGATTGTGATAGCAGAATGCAAAATTGCAGTACCAGGCCTAAGCGTCGACACATTCTGTATCCCCGCTTGCGATCTTGACACTAGTTGGGGCTTCCCTGTCACACTGGCACCTCTAACTGGAGAACTTAAGACTGTAGTGGCCCCTTTGATCTGGGAGCCATTGGATGTATTGGTCAACCAAGCTGTACCGGGGGCTGGGCTGGGGGTTCGAGGCGGCCTCACGAAAGCATGCGTCTGGGTAATTATTAGAAACACTGTTAAACTTTTATTGAATTAAACATACCTGGCCACTAGTTTGGGCGGCTACTACCATGGGGCCCCTCACTGCTGCTACATTACTGCGTGGCGCCGCTATGTTTGCTACAACAGCTGGACCTCGAGGAACGTGGTACGTAGTACCACAGGAGACATTTTGGGCAACTACTGGGGTAGTTGAAAGGGTGATTTGGGCGGGCCTTTGGATTGTTATGCTAGCCGAACCCTGGGGTTGTGCTTGACTCGTGGTCAAAATACTTGTAATCTGGGAACGTGCTGCATCTAAAATTAAATTAATCATTGGGTAACCACAAACTGCTAAAACTCACCTTGTTTAAATACTGTATGGGGCACGATGTTGGTTGTAATGATGGTTGGGGTGTTGGAAGATGACTGCCCCGCATTTGTAGGTGTTCCTTGCGTTAAAACACGCATTCCTCTCAATGCTTGGGTCGTCATAAGCAGAGGGGCTTTCCCCTCAACAGCCCTAACTGTAGTAATTTGGTTTCTCGCCAAATCCAGAGGCAAGGATTTATGGGCTTCCTTGCCCTCTTCTCCATTTCCACTCATAGCTTACCTTTTTCACCAAACATTCATAAAAAAACTTAAATAATTACGTTAAACGCATCTGCATAAAATATTAATCAACTTTTCAAACAGTGATTATAAGGTTTTGTGCAGCTCAAGAACAAAACCCATATTATTTTTTCTAAAGTTTAGAACGCGGAAACTCAAACACTTCATACGAAATTTTAAACTTAATCATAGCCTTAAAACTTAGGAATACACAATCATGGACGATAACAACACCACAAAACGCAAATTCCGAACTGACGCCATTGCTGCTGCTGTCAAGAGAACGTCGACCCATTAGTCAGAATATTTGTTAATCATAATTTTTTCTCATTTTTGTAGCTAGAACCAGCGTGGATTCAATTTAAACACAAAATGAATTAGTTTAGTGCAGATTTGTCTATAACCGACATTCGACAGCTTTTTTTTTAATTTTACAAAAAAAAGTGACACTGTTTGCGACAATAGGTTTTATAACCAATGATACAGCTGTCGAAAATTCTGTCAAAATTGAAACGTCAACACCAAGTTGTCGGCCACGTATTTTGATGTTTTAAATGGAAATTGTGTTTTGCTGGAAATTCAGTATTAAAATCGATTAACGAAACAGTTCTTCAAATACAAGATGGTAAAACAGTTCGTTCGACATTGTGACCGTACTCATCCATTTGTTCCAGCCTCTTCGCCTAGACATAAAACGCAAACTTACGGCACGGTCTGACCGCGTAAAATGTGTAGATTTACACCCCACGGAACCGTGGATGCTCTGTTCCTTATACAGTGGCAATATAAACGTGTGGAACCACGAAAATCAACAACTGGTCAAAACTTTCGAGGTATGTGATTTGCCAGTCCGTGCAGCAAAATTCGTACCCCGAAAAAACTGGATTATTGCCGGTTCAGATGATATGCAAGTACGAGTTTTCAATTATAATACCCTAGATCGTGTGCATGCCTTTGAGGCACACTCCGATTATGTTCGTTGCATAGTGGTTCATCCAACTCAATCGTACATTCTAACAGGGAGTGGTAAGTATCACTGTAATTTCTCTGTAAACAAACTAACCGTTTACGTTTAGACGACATGTTGATTAAACTATGGAACTGGGAAAAAGCATGGGCGTGTCAGCAAGTGTTCGAAGGCCACTCACACTACGTCATGCAAATCGCCATCAACCCCAAAGACAACAACACCTTCGTGAGCGCTTCTCTCGACCGCACTTTGAAAGTGTGGCAATTGGGGGCCTCCACTGCCAATTTTACTTTAGAAGGACACGAAAAGGGGGTCAATTGCGTTGATTATTACCACGGAGGCGACAAACCGTACATAATTTCAGGCGCTGATGATCGCCTTGTCAAGATTTGGGACTACCAGAATAAAACGTGTGTACAAACTCTAGAAGGCCATACTCAAAACATCAGCTCTGTGTGTTTCCATCCAGAATTACCAATTGTATTAACCGGAAGCGAAGACGGCACTGTCAAAGTCTGGCATGCCAATACACATCGACTAGAAAGTAGTTTGAATTATGGGTTTGAAAGGGCGTGGACGATTTGTTGCCTCAAGGGCTCAAACAATGTCGTCATTGGTTATGATGAGGGTAGTATTTTGGTGAAAGTAGGTCGTGAAGAACCTGCCGTCAGCATGGATGCAAGTGGAGGCAAAATAATCTGGGCCAGACACTCTGAATTGCAACAGGCAAACCTGAAAGCGTTACCTGAAGGTGCGGAAATAAGAGACGGTGAACGTTTACCTGTCGCTATTAAAGATATGGGGGCGTGTGAGATTTATCCACAAACTATACAACATAATCCAAATGGACGATTTGTGGTGGTTTGTGGAGATGGGGAATATATTATTTACACGGCAATGGCGTTGCGTAATAAAGCGTTTGGTAGCGCTCAAGAGTTTGTATGGGCGCAGGATTCCAGTGAGTATGCTATTAGAGAAGCGGGATCAACGGTGCGGATTTACAAAAATTTCAAAGAGAAAAAGAACTTTAAACCAGATTTTGGAGCTGAAGGAATTTTTGGGGGGTGGTTGCTTGGGGTTAAGTCAGTTTCAGGACTTACTTTCTATGATTGGGATACTTTAGACCTTGTTCGAAGGATTGAAATTCAACCTAGAGCTGTTTATTGGTCTGACAGTGGTAAATTAGTTTGTCTAGCCACTGAAGACAGCTATTATATATTGTCTTATGACTCTGATCAAGTCCAGAAAGCAAAAGAAGAAGGAATAACAGCTGAGGATGGTGTAGAAGCTGCGTTTGAAGTCCTGGGTGAAGTCAGCGAAACAGTTCGTACTGGACTCTGGGTGGGAGACTGTTTTATTTACACCAATGCTGTTAATAGAATAAATTACTTTGTTGGAGGGGAACTTGTTACAATAGCACACCTAGACAGACCTCTGTACGTCTTGGGTTACGTACCAAGAGACGATAGGCTATATCTTGCTGATAAAGAACTAGGAGTAGTTAGTTATCAATTATTGTTATCCGTTCTTGAGTATCAAACGGCTGTAATGCGGAGAGACTTCACCACAGCTGATAGAGTTTTACCTTCAATTCCTAAAGAACACCGAACTAGAGTGGCCCACTTCCTTGAAAAGCAAGGTTTTAAGAAACAAGCTTTAGCTGTAAGCACTGACCCTGAACATAGATTTGAATTAGCTCTAGCTTTAGAAGACCTAAATACAGCTCGAACTTTAGCGCAAGAAGCTAATAATCCCCAGAAATGGAGTCAATTGGGTGAATTAGCAGCTTCAACAAACAATTTGCAGTTAGCTAAAGAATGTATGCAACGCGCTCAGGATTACGGTGGCTTGCTCCTGTTAGCTACTAGTTCTGGCGACGAGAATTTAGTTAAAAGTTTGGGAGAAAACACCCACTTTGAAGGAAAACACAATTTGGCGTTTTTGTCGTATTTTCTTTTGGGTGATTTGGACAAATGTATGGATATTTTAATTAGTACTGGACGTTTACCAGAAGCTGCTTTTTTCGCACGTTCCTACTTACCTGATAAAATTTCGGAAGTCGTAGCTTTGTGGAAGGCGAAATTGTCGTCGACGAACGAGAAAGCTGGCCAAAGTCTCGCTGATCCTAAAGATTACGAAAATCTGTTTCCTGGATTAAATGATGCTATTGCTGCGCAGAAGTTTTATAACGATGGAAAAAAGGGTTTGCCGTTGGCCATTAATGCAAGGAAAATTACTCCTAACCACGACCGGAACGTTGTGGATGAAATGAAATCTGCGGTAGGAGCGGGAGCGTTTAATTTGCCACAGACAAGGTATATAGTTTAAAAAATTATTTTTTGTTGTTGTTTAAATTGTTTGATTTTAAAGCCAACAAACTCACAGTGAACAGAAAACACCCGTCGTATTACAACAAGACGATGACGACGATCTTGACTTGGATTTGGAAGGAGTTAATATTGATGATAATATAGATACCACTGTAAGTTATTTGTACCTATGGATGTTCCACTATTTTAATTCATTTATTTTTAGGATATCAATATTGACGACGATTTATTAAGTGATTAAAATATTGAAATTTGCAAGTCTAAAATTAATATTTAATCGTTAATGTTTTTTTATTGTCGAGTATTTTATGTAGGTAATTATGTAATTAAAATTACATACAGTTTGTGGTTTTTTATTTATTGATAAAGCGAGAAATCAAGAAACGTCAGCGTATGGGAAATTTAAAAACATTCAAATGTGTACACTGTTGTGCAATAAAATTGTATAGCTACACACTTAATATTATTAAAATGACAGTATTGTAGTGACTGTAGCGGGTGTCTGGAAAATGGCGGATTAACTCTCCGCTACGCTCTTAGATGGCAATCATCAACTGGTGCGTCTGGGAAAAGTAGTTAAAAAAATTCTCACATTTCGGTGGGGTTTTTTCTTTCTGTCACCCAATTACCATTTCAGTTAAAAAAAATCTGTTGAGCTTTTATATTTTAATGTTTTATTTTTTACGAGTTTGAAAGTATTGAGTGCTGCAGTTTTTTTTTTTTTTAATTCGACTCTTGGATACCTACCCATGGTGTATTATTTCGGGAGCTCAGGGAGATTATTTAAAACAATTTTGGGGGTTTTGGAGTTCTCTTTTTGGAAAATTCTGACCTGACCTGTTTTTAAGTTAATTTTTTAATCCCGAGGTTCTAGGTATTCTTGTTTGGAAAGAATTTGAAAGTGCTTTGGATCCCCTAGCGTCTTTTCTCAAAATAATTTAATTAAATTTCTTGGTCGTTCGTCATATTTGCTAAAATCAGTCTAATCTTAGCAGATACTAGCCCCGCCCACCCACCCTCTCTTTTCTTAGAGGATATGTTATATGCCAAAATCGCTCATATTAGCAGGTACTAGCTCCACCCACCTACCCTTTATTTTCTTAGCGAGTGTGTCATTTGCCAAAATCGCAGTGGCGGCTCGTGAACTTTTGAAATGGGGGGGGGGACACAATTTGATTGATGAGTTAAATTAGAAGATTTAAAACAGGCTATTATTACCAATTAATAGACGAAATTGTGTTACTGAAATAAATACAAAAATACATTCAAGAAAGTAAAGAAGTAGTTGTCCACATACCTTTGGTTTTAAATCATTACTGAGGAGACAAACAAAACAATTTATTATTTTTTTCACAACCGTACATCCACAAAAATTTACCATGCTTGTTATGTCTATTAAAAGTTAGAGCATCTATGAAAGTCTGTCGTTTTGCCATGAACACTTTTTACTTCCCGAGCGTAAGCAAAGGAAGTATTGTAATCGAGTCCGTCGGCCGACTCTCTACTTTTACGTTTTCTCGATCTTTCATGACCTCTAGAATACGAAGAAATAGGTCTCCCATTTCCGTCTGTCTGTCCGTCTGTCCGTCCGTCTGTCCGTCCGTCTGTCCGTCTGCCGTCCCGGATTTTTATTAGACAGATAATCTCCGAAAGTACTGGACCGATTGTTGTGAAATTTTGTACTTATATTAGGAATATCATGTAGTTGGTAAAACGCTAACCAAAATTTGTCTAATCATCCCCACCACTAATGCGATGACGTCACTTCAAAATTGTACATAGTAAATGGGTCTTAAATTGTATAAAATAACATAGTCCTACACATGTAGTTTACAACTCCGAATTCAGTTTGTACCCGAAACGTCCAGATTTTTGGAAAAAAAATCAAAATCATAAAACAACATATTGCAATTTAATTTTGAATCTGCTAACCCGAATGTTTTAAAATGTTGCAGATGTTTTAAGGCTCTAAAGAGCATCATAAATCTTTAGTCAAAATATATTTGGTTATCCCCTTCAAAAACTTGATGACGTCAGCTCGAAAGTTTGCCGAATAAATCATATCTAAAATGTGCAAAATATGATGAGTCTGTACTTGTCATTTATCACTCCATTCATATTTTTTGGATTTGCATATACAGAGTGACTCAAAAAAATTAATGAATGCGTAAATATATTTTTTTGATTTAATCAGGAACTACTAAACGGAATGCTCTGACATGTTGCAGATGTTTTAAGGTTATAAAGAGCATAATAAATGTTTAGTCAAAATATATTTGCTATCTTCTACAAAAAACTGATGACGTCAGCTCAAAAGTTTGCCGAATAAATCGTATCTAAAATGTACAAAATATGATGAGTCTGTACTTGTGATTTATCATTCCATTCATATTTTTGGATTTGCATATGCAGGGTGACTCAAAAAAATTAATGAATGCGTGAATTTATTTTATCGATTTAATCAGGAATTACAAAACCGAATGCTTTGAAATCTTGGGAATATTTTAAAGTTATTATAAGCATGGTAAACTTTTGTTCAAAATGTATTTGTTCATCCCTCCTAAAAAAATTGATGACGTCACCCTTAAATTTTGCTGAATAAATCCTATCTAAAATGCAAAAAATATGATGAGTTTATACTTGTGATTTATCATTCCATTCATATTTTTTAGATTTTCTTAAGAGGTGGTTCAAAAAAATTAATGAAGTCAATTTATTTTATTGATTAAATTAAAGGCAACACTTATTACTAGTATTACACCCCAACTAACCCAATTTGTTTGACACAAAATTTGTTAAAGGAAAAACTCGGTTGAAACATAAGGGTAGCACGCTTATTTACATCGACTTTAGCATTACAGACCTGCATTTGTTTTATGCGGTCACTTGGTTCCGCGAATGCGAAATAGACATGTTTATAATCAACCAATTGTGAATTTCACCGTCAAGAATTAAAATAAAACCTAATGTTTTGTATAATAAGCGGAAGTCGAAGCAATAAAACCTATGGTCATTTTGTTTATAGTTTCTCTGTTTGACTCTCACGTATGCTGTTACGCTTGTCATCTTAAATTAAGAATGTTTATACATAAACGATTTTCAGTTGCCCCTCATATTACTAGACAGCGGATTTCTGTCGGGCTACGTCACGATTATAGGGGGGGACGTGCTGGATCGCCGGGTGATAGATAATATAATCACTGAATTTAATCGGTACTAATTAACGATTTATTAATCAAACGGCTAAGTAAATGAGAACGGGAATTAACAGCAGAGTGCAACGAAACAGCGTTATTCTAATCTCAAATAAACGAAGTGCAGTCCGCAACCGCAATGAATTCGCATCCCATACGAGCCGTACCGAGTTTGGCCTTGCCTAGCCCGACAGAAATCCGCTCTCTAGATATTACACACCGGCGCCGTATACGTGAGTAAATTATTTCGTTATTTTATTGATTATAAGAAATCAATATTCAAAACGACTCATTCATTTTCCCGAAAATTTGGGAATACAATAATTTTATTCTTAGTATTACACTACATCTATCCCAACTGATATACGTGTCCTTGCAAAAATGTTGATGACGTCATCACATTTTTTTTTAAATTCCCACTACAAAAATGTAATGAGAAAAAAAACACAATAGGCATGCAGTCGTCAAGTTTCCGACAGCGAGGGAAGTACTGTCTAAACTCTTTAGACCAATTTTTTTATTAATAAATCGGAGGTGGCTCTCCCTAAATTTTTCACTAAAATTTTACCGCCGGAAGACAGGGGACGATTTTTTATTAAATATTCAACTGATTTTAATTCCAAATCAAACAATTTCATTCGCACAGAATGAAAATGAACTAGACGCACGGTTTCCATGGCAACGGTGTAAACAAAACGTCTAAATGAGGCATGATTTGGTCTCCGCTTTTATCAGCACTTCAACAACTTATCATATATCCAAGACACAACATCTTTAGATGTAAGTTTTAATTTTTAATATGACACAAATTTCCGGATAATTTTTTAAATATTGAAAACTACTATCTTGCGATGTCCAGTGTGTTCGTAGACGTTGTAACTTTGAGGGGGCACGTGCCCTTGTGCCCCTTGGCACCAGCCGCCCCTGCAAAATCGATCTTATTTTAGCTGGTACTAGCCCCGCCCACCTACCTTCACTTTTCTTAGAGAATATATCATTTGCCAAAATTAGTTTTATTTTAGCAAGTACTGACGACGAACTTTTACAAAAAATGATCAAAATTTGGAAACATCACGAGCTTACTTGTGCATATTTAAAACAATTTTGGAGAACTTTGGTGTTCTATTTTCTGACCTGAGTTCTAACTAAGAGTTAATTTTAGGACCGCATTTTTTTCTTTTGAAAAATTTAAAGCAATCTTGAGGTTCTGGGATCTAGGTATTCCTGTTTGGAATGAATTTGAAAATGCTTTGGAGACTTTGGTCTTTTCTTATAATAATTTCATTAATTTAAATTTCTTAGAGGATACGCCATTTCCTAAAATCAGTCTTATCTTAGCAGGTACTAGCCCCGCCCACCCACCCTCTCTTTTCTTAGAGGCTATGTCATTTACCAAAATCAACCTTATCTTACCAGCTGCTAGCCCCGCCCACCCACTTTCTCTTTTCTTACGGGCCAATTTCAAGTTGGTTTGCAATTAATTGCAAGCGCCGTTGCTATGGTGATCTCGTAGAACTCTTAATATTTTACAAACCATTATATTTTTGCGAGGTTACCATAGCAACGCAGCTTGCAATTAATTGCAAACCAACTTGAAATTGGCCCGTTAGAGGGTATCTCATTTGCCAAAATCAGTCTTATATCTTAGCAGGTACTAGCCCCGCCGCCCACCCACCCTCTCTGTTCTTACAGGATATGTCATTTGACAAAATCAGTTTCATCTTAGCAAGTACTGATGACTAACTTACAAAAAATGATCAAAATTTGGGAACATCACGAGCTTATTTGTATGCACAAGGCAGGAATTTTGACCACCTGCTCTAGTGTTTATTGGTTATCCTTTAATGGATTTTTCTTTTGTAGATTTAGTTTTTGTTTATAATTTATGAATGTCTTATTAATTTTTTTTTGTTTATTTATTAACGAAAAATAACAGCTTCTTTTATTAATAATAATGCACAATAATGACTACTGGTTGTTGTGGTTATTGTCCTAAAAAAGAATAAAAGATGGATTTTATCGTTACTAAGAAATCAGAAAGTGAGCCGGAGGTTTTCACACATTAGGTGCGTACAATGTTGCTAATTTTACTACTATAAAATTACGTTTTTTTCGTAACCTATGTCATAAAGAATTTTTTTATATTTTTTTGGGATTCCCGAAACCCCCCATTAATCCGCCGTTTTCCAGACACCCGGTATTGTAAGAGTAATGTATTTAAATAACCACATGCACATGCATGTGCCAAATAATAAGATTGATAAGTAAATCAGATATAATTTTTATTCAAGAGCTGACATTATAATGAGCACCATAATTAATAATACAGTAATGACATACATGTAGAAATGTAGCTGTGCTCTAATTTAAAACTTTGGCATCCTTAATCAAAGTGAGTGGGCAAAGAAAACATTTTGACAAAGATAGAAAGATATAACCAACATCTTTAGCATTGGTTAAATTTTTTAAGATTTTTCTGAAATAGTTTTTAAATAGTCTTAATATTCTGTTTCGGTTAGAACTCAGAAGCAGATTTTTTTTATTTTATAGTTTATGTTGTACATATCAACATTGGATTGAAAAAAAGAACAGTTTTCAGTCTTTAAATTTTTATTTACTAATATTTGAACAATAAAAAATTATTATTGTAAACTAATTAATCGCGAAAAAATGTTTTATGTAAAAACCAAAAAACTTTTATTACTACCGCGCAGATAGGTGGCGCTTCTACATTTTGACAGACTTTTTGACACATGTTTAAAAAAGTGAGGTCAGTTAATACACCACAAAATGAGAAATCTAGAAGATTTTTCTGTTCCCAACGATGGCGAAATAACCTTATGCGAGATAAATGGCCGAATGCAATGTATGAACTACGAATACGCCAACGTATCTTCATTTACTACTTCGGTAAATTATGCTAGGTTAGAAACCCGACTTTGAAATCTTCAAACAAATTTTAGGTTGATAAACACCCGAAAATCCACGTAACTCGAGACTTGGTACATCACACGGCATTAGGCGATGAAATTAAAGCGTTATTCCTACCAACGGATGTGCCTTTTTTAAAACAACTGACGCAGGTGTATTCAGAGCAGGGAATTCAAGAAGTGTTGCGAACTGCGTCTTTTCACCATCATTTCGTTATTTCACATAGTGCTTTGTTGGTTTTGAAGGTTTTAAAGTACGTTAGGAAAGTTCAGTTGCTGTTAAATCCGAGTTTAGAGTATAATGGGCCTGAATTGATTGATGAATTGTGCCAAACAAGGAACTGGGCAAACAATTTAGTAAGATGCATTGCGTGGCATCATCACACGTCTCGATTGGCAGTGGCTACTAATGATGACAGTGTAAGGATTTATTGCAGTGATACTAATTTTGTGTCACTTTTAAGATGTAAGCAACAAAAGAACGTTGTGTGTTTGGCGTGGAGACCAATGTCTTTAACAGAGATAGCAGTTGGACATGAAAATGGAATCATTATTTGGAATGTAGACTTTAATTCACTGGTAACTTAGTATTCAAAAAAATACAAATGTGTAATGATTTTTTTTTCAGGTTGCAAGACCTTCAGTAAGCAACACTGTAATGTTGCACAGAGTAGAACATCAACTGTTGATGAGTCTAGTTTGGAGCCCTAATGGTAGCATCTTAGTGAGTGCAGCAGGGCGTGATTCAAACATTCTTGTTTGGGATGTTGAATTAAATAAAACTAGTATATTAAAAGGGTCCAGAGAATCTGGAAATATACTTTTAAAATGGTCTCCAGCAAAAGACAAACTTTTAAGTGTGTCAAGTGGAATTGTTTTTAAGTTTGTATTTTTGTTATTGTATTTTAACTTGTAATGTTTCATTTTTTATAGAATATGGGATTGTCAACACTGGGAGAGTGACCGCTGGACTGTATTATCAGGGCGCGTTCAGTCTGCGTGTTGGTCAAGTTGTGGTACACATTTATTGTTTGCCACCAACACTGAGTCAATAATTTATGGTTTGACAATAAAGAGTGACCAGATATTTACAAGCAATTCAGACACTTCAATTGATCATGCAGTGCCATTATTTGATCTTACCAAATTAGATTTAGAAGGCATTGCAGTTGGAGGGACTGTACAAAGCATGGAGACTGATCCAAAAGGAACTCATTTGGCGGTGTTCTTTAAAGAAACGAACTGTGTCGCCATTTTTAATGTTGTGACATCCCCTTTGCTTCAATTAATTGCCAGGTTAATTGGTGTACTTGAACTTACATTGATTTATTACCATTTGTTTTGCAGTTCTTTGATTGTGGGTTTGGCTGCAGAAGTGCCAACTGCAATAACTTTCCAACAAAATTTTAAGCCTGGTGCTTGCCTTACTATTGCTTGGTCCAGCGGCCGCATTCAACACTTTCCAATTATTTATACTGATTTAGCGAATGATTTTAACGTTAACCATTCTGTGCGTTCAATTAATAATTCGCGTTAATATTTAGGATTTTGTAACAAAGTAATTTTACATCAAAGAAATGACTTATTTATTACATTTAATAAAGAAAATTTAAAATAATCATTGTCGTGCCCGTTTATTGCTTGTATAGGTCCCTGGATCAGATTGTCTTTTTTCTAAAATGAAAAATGGGGTTTAAATATGTATGTAATTATTTAATGAGTGTGATTGCAACTTACTGACTTTATTTTCTGCTGCATTTGAGGCAGAAACAAACGTTCGTTGTAACTTCGTTTTCTTTACTTCTCTGTATTTTTTTGCTACATCTGTTGAAAGTTCTGCGACTCTAGCCATAACTGCTGCTGGATAACTAAACAATGTGGGTTAATAATGGCATGCACAATTTCAGCGATCTTACCTGCAGCCCATAAATTCAATATTTGTAAAAGCTGTGGCTAATGCGACAAGGTAGTCCTCGGGAAAGTTACCTTTGTGAGTTTTCATAAATTCTTTACGCAGTTGCCAATGCTCTTCCAGATCTGTATCATCTCTATATTTTTCAATATCCCAATCAGTGGGGTACGTTTGAGTCATGTTGAATCAAATACAATCGTCAAATTTTGTGAAGTTACTTCTTTTTACTTACGATAATTTTTTATGTTTTTGCGGTTAACATTTGACACTTTTTGACATACAAACTCTCAATGCAGCCAACTGTTGTTAACAATAACATAAAATGTCCAAGTCGGTCATTTTTTTTCCAAAGTTAACCTTAAAATTGTGACAATTTAAAACTAAATAATATAAAACGTCATCGTTTTTGCATAAACAAATACTAATTATTGTTGTAAACAATTATGGAATCAAGGATAGAAACGTCGGAATTGCAACAGTTGGTGGGAAGCGACGTGGACGGGGAAAACGATGACAGTACAGCTCAGGATGAGAACATCAATGAAGTAAAAGTTATATCTCCCGTTCGAAGCCACAAAGTAATTTTTAAAAACCCACTCACTCCGTTCTGTACAAACTAATTGTAGATGTCGTCAAGCGAAAATACTAGCCATAGTTCAGTCACCAAAATGGGAGCTCGATACAACCTCAATGTCCACCCAACCAACTCGAAGGTATCATTTGTAAACGAAAAACGCATAAACCGAGACACTACCAAAACTGCCACAGCCAGACCTAGAAATGTGCATAAAGGTAAATCTTTCACAGGTCGTTATTTTTTAGATAATTTTGTAGTACTACATTATTTGTATTATTTCCACTTTATGTTTCACTCTCTGTCTGTCGTTTATCTATTTCTTTATTTTTCGTTAATTTACTTTTATTTTGTTTTATTTTTTTGCACCTGCATGCAGACAATAATACAAATGCCCGACATCATTGTTTTATCTCTGAAGTGCCTGACGTGAGACACATGGAAAAGGCTCTGTTGGGTCTTCTGGCGGATTTTCATTCTGGTAAACTTCGAGCGTTCGGTAGTGGATGCACCATGGAACAAATGACCAACATTAGACAACAACAAGAAAAACTAGCCAAACTTCACTTCGATTTAGGGGCCGCCACTGTGCCATCACTTGATGATGAAAATCTTCTTCGCTCGCAAAACACCATGAGTCAGCTGATCCAACGACTAGAGCAATTAAGTGTTTCGATAGAAGCGCTACACAGCAATACCAACAAATAGTTGTTATCAAAGGGCTTGCTGTTTTTCACGTCTTTTTTATCAAGTGAAATATATAGACAAATAAATTAATTATAAAACGGAAATGAAATTCTTAAATATTTATGTTCGTACATTATCGAAATTTTGTTTTTTATACCAAGTAATTTTATAACAATATTATTTTGTTGTATGTATGTTATTCTTATTGCGTTAATAAATATCGATGAACGAATTTGTTTATGAAACAAGTAAATATGTGTATAATTTTGAAATGGAATTTTTTGCCGCTGTTCAAATTTTTACAAGGTCCATAAATTACCAGAGACTTTAATATGTACATATTAAAGTCTCTGTAAATTACTAAATATAGGGACTTTGCGACTATTATTTCTGTCATTAACGCTTTGCGTCACTGTCATTAAGAACGTACAGTAATCTAGGTTATGTTCTATTTAGTCTTCTGCTGAAGGTCTTCTACTTTAAATAATGCTTCTACATTACACAACATTAAGTAAAAATGTAGTGAATAAGTGTAACTATTGATTGAAAATGAGTAACGAAGAGAGACTGGTAACAGAGGTGCCTAGCAGCCTAAAGCAGCTCGCAAGGTTAGTCGTTCGTGGTTTCTACACAATCGAAGATGCCCTAATAGTGGATATGTTGGTCCGAAACCCCTGTATGAAAGAAGACGACATCTGCGAACTGCTAAAATTCGAGCGGAAAATGCTGCGAGCTCGCATTGCAACTCTAAAAAGCGACAAATTCATCCAAGTAAGACTGCGAATGGAAACTGGGGCAGATAGTAAAGCTCAAAAAGTAAACTATTATTTTATTAATTACAAAACCTTCGTGAACGTAGTGAAATACAAATTAGATTTAATGAGAAAACGCCTGGAAACCGAGGAACGCGACGCCACAAGCCGAGCTAGTTTCAAGTGTCCAGGATGTCTGAAAACATTCACTGATCTGGAAGCTGACCAATTATTCGATTATACAACTAGTGAATTTCGTTGCACCTACTGCAGGGAAGTTGTTGAGGAGGACTTGTCAGCGCTCCCCAAAAAAGATTCTCGGTTGCTTCTGGCGAAATTTAACGAACAACTGGAACCTCTTTATGTTTTGTTGCGAGAAGTGGAAGGAATTAAATTGGCGCCGGAAGTCCTGGAGCCTGAACCAGTTGATATTAGTACTATTAGAGGAATCGACAAGAAGTATGCAGCACAACCTCAAGAAAATTGGTCAGGCGAAGCAACCCGGAACTCTGGGTTTATGGTGGAAGAAACGCGGGTTGATGTTACTATTGGAGATGAGAATAACACCGTTGCTGCCAATGCAAGAAAAGAAGCGCCAATTTGGATGATGGAGTCTACTGTTATTACGAAAGATTCTGAGCTGGATTCGAGCAAGACTGCAGATTCTATTATTGACGCAAGTAATGAGGGTACTGGTAATAATGGCAAGACTGATGATATAATGAGTGTGTTGTTGGCTCATGAAAAGAGACCATCAAATTTGGCTGCAAGTGCTGTTAAAGGTCTGAATAATGAATCTGACTCAAGTTCTGATGAAATGACTGAAGTGAAAGAGGAAGCTGGTGAAATTGAAAATTCAGAGAGTGATGAAGATGAAGGAATTGTGCCTACTGTTACTGTTGGAAACAGAGTTTATAACATTACGGACATTAATGATACGATTATTGCTGAAATGACTCAATCTGAGAAGGAAATTTATGTTCAGGTGTTTCAAGATTACTATTCACATATGAACTACTAGGTAATATTTATTTTTGTGTAATTTGATATACAAATGAGTACCTTAATCTATTTTTATAATGATACAAAAGTACTTTATTATCCTAGAAGCTAACTTCATATTTGTTCCATTGAAAGCGTTGTTTACATTGAATTGACGTTACTTGATAAAATTAAGATCCTGTACAATACTTGAAGTTATACTGATTTAATAAATAAGTGTGAATTTCACATTCTACCATCGTAAATATGTTGACTCACTACTGGGGTACTTGTGGGGGCTAGGGACTTAACATCAGATTTCACCTTGCAATTAATTACACCTACCTTGCAGAAACTATGGTTATATTTTGGGGATTAACTAACGGTTGCAGTTTCTCAGTAAACCGCTTATAATTCCTGTCAAGCTCTCTTTGGTAATCTCTTTGGTCTGGTCCAATCAGGTTTCTATTTTTCTTTAAGGCATCAAAACATCTAAAGCATACTTAATGTAGCAACCGCACTAAACTACAGACGTTCACTCACTTTTTACAAAAATCTTTAAAGCACAGCCTCAGTTTATTCTGGTGTTTTGTCAACGCTTTACCATCGCTGGGTAAAAATGTCAAGGCCATTTCCAGTGGACCTTGATTTACCGTTGTACCAATACACCCCTGTAACACCATTTGCAAAATTTTGGGATCAGGTGGTTCCTGCTGAGTAGCCGCAGCCAACTCTGTCGTTTTCTTCTGAATATCTTCAATTGCCACCTAATAAGCAAGTAATTAATGACAATAAAAATTACAAAATTAAAAACCAACATACCTCTATGGGAGTTAAAGTTACTTGAACTCTGTTGACGACTTGAATGCGCGTTTTAACATATGGGAAGTGAACTGCAGTGGTTAAGATTGTCTTTCGTTTGTATTGGTCGCGTAATTCTCCATGTGCTTTTCCAGTCATTGTGAAAGGAGTTGCGTACACAAATCTCTCTGTAAGATGCGAGACATAATTAGTTTTATTTTTCTATTTGTGGATCTCTATACCGGGAAAATGGCAGATTAACTCTTCACTACGTTATGTACGGGGGTTTCGGGAGTCCCAAAAAAATAATAAAAATATTACTTCGACTCGCCCATAAAGTATACCTTGTCAAATTCAGCTCTTTCGAAAAATTAAAAGATTTGATTTTGCAGTTTTATTGTTTTTTTTTATGACAACCATTATAAGCTAAAATAAAAATGTGTCTCTAATGTTTGAGTTTGAATGTGCTAACCGTTTGTTACAAGTGAGTTTTTCTATTACAAAATTTTGTGTTGATGTCATCCACATTGTAATACTAATAATAAAAGTATTGTATTATTGTTATTCTTGAATAGTGATTTAATCACGTCTGCCGTATGTAATAAGAAACGTGCGACTGAAGACTGAACTGAAAAGCATTTATGGTACTCATAATAATTTAAGACAAATAGCGATAACACTTATCAACCTGTAGACGTGAGAGTAAAACAAAAACTAAACTAAAACATGTTTTCTACGAATTGCAATAACCGGATCACGATGCCGACGGTCCAGACTTTTTTATTGTTCTGACTTCCGCTTATTGAATAAAACACTACATTTTATTTTGATTTTCGCTGTTGTAATTCACATTTGGTTAATTATCACTTGTCTGGATCTAGGAGAGGCTCAGCATCCCCTAGCTAGGATCTTGTCTAGGGGTTATGAAATATCGAGAAAATACTAAAGTACCACGCACGTTGCCCGTTGGACTGTACGTCCTTAGATTATCCTCGATAAGAAAAACAACTTGAAGGTGTTTATATTTATACATCGGAAGAATGTCACGTAGAAATTAGTTTGATTTGAATGAGTTCGCCCCCTCAAAACAGGATCAAAATCATTAAATAGTAAGCTACAATCGACAAAATGTTCTGAATATCATTATTATAATTCTTATTAAACAAGGACATTGTATTTTCCCATTTTAATATTATAAATATTAATGCAATGATGAATCACAAGTAAAACTCATCATATTTTGCACATTTTGGGTAGAATTTATTCGGCAAAATTTTGAGATAACATCATCAATTTTTTGGGGGAATAAACAGATTTATTTTGATTAACAATTTACCATGCTTACAATGACTTTAAGTCTGCAAGATTTCAAAGCATTCAATTTTGCAATTCTTGATTTAAACAATAAAATAAATTGATTCGTCATTAATTTTTTTAAGACACACTGTATAAGCAAATCTAAAAAATATTAATGCAGTGATAAATCACAGCTATAGATAGACTCATACTGCACATTTAAGATACGAATTGTTCGGCAAAATTTTGAGTTGACGTCATTACCATGTTTATGATAATTTTAAAACATCTCCAAGATTTCAAAGTATTCGATTTGGTAGTTCCTGATTAAATCAATAAAATAAATTCACGCATTCATTAATTTTTTTGAATCATCCTGTATAAGGGAGACCTATTTCTTCGTACTCTAGGGGTCATAAAAGGTCGAGAAAATGTAAAAGTACAGAGTCGGCCGACGGATTCCATTACAATACTTCCTTCGCCTACGTTCGGGAAATAAAAAATCTTTGATGTAGATTACAAAAAAGCTAAGTAAGCAATGTTTCCAAATTTTGAACATTTTTTGTAAAAGTTAGTCATCACTACTTGCTAAGATAAAACTGATTTTGGCAATGACACCGTCTATGAAAAGAGAGGGCGGGTGGGCGGGGCTAGTAGCTGCCAAGATAAGACTGATTTTGGCAAATGAGATACCCTCTAAGAGAAGAGAGGGCGGGTGGGTGGGGCTAGTGGCTGCTAAGATAAAACTGATTTTGACAAAGGACACACCCTCTAAGAAAAGAGAGGGTGGGTGGGTGGGGCTAATAGCAGTTAAAATAAGGCTGATTTTGACAAATGACATACCCTCTAAAAAAAGAGAGGGTGGGTGGGTGAGGCTAGTACCTGTTAAGACTGATTTTGGCAAACGACATACTCTCTAAGAAAAGAGAGGTTGGGTGGGCGGGGCTAGTACCTGCTAAGATAAGACTGATTTTGGCAAATGAGATACCCATTAAGAAAAGAGAGGGTGGGTGGGTGGGCCTAGTACCTGCTAGGATAAGACTGATTTTGGCAAATTTACTATTTTTCCCAGACTCACTAATTGATTGTTAAGAGCGTAGCGGAGAGTCAATCCGCCATTTTCCAGACAGCTGGTACATTAAACTCACTAATATTGAAGTTTCTATCAAAATGGGTTTGACGATATCTTAGTTCATATTGTTCAAAATACGGCTCCACGTAGGTTATCTGTATGTAGGCCTTTTCGGGATCTAAGGCGCTAATATCGACAATATTGGAATCTTTAATTATTATCACATTTTCAGGCCCAAATCGTTCTGCGTAAAAGTTCTGAAACAAAAATTTTAGATCTTTACAAAAAAACTCAAAACGTGACTTACTTCTAAACGACTGAAAATTTCCGGCAATTTCGTCAGAGTAGGTTCTTTGTAAATAAACTCCTCTCTATCCAAATCACCAAACTTGGAACCGTAGAAACCCACGCGGAAGTAAGTACCGAACATCCTCTTTCCTTGCAATTGATCGATTCTCGTGTAGGCATCATGTAACTTGCTATAATATTCTTGTATAGCAAAGTTAACTAAACAGACTACATATACACTACTCACCCGTGTATATTAGCCAACTTTTTGAAGTCCCTATTATTCTCACCAATGGGAATCAAAACCCTATAAATATCATTCATAGGCTCATACATCGCAGCCACGTGAAAACTACTAGCCGCCTGTTCCAACAACCCCACTAACCCAGCTTCAGTAAAATGCGACCCCAAACACCCTCCTTCCTTCTCTGGACTCAGTACATCATCCGACACGGCGCTCTCTTCCAACACATTCGGACTGACTCTTTCCAAAGCAGCTGCCCCTGCAGGTAAATGAGGCGACGACTCCGACATAACCAAATACTCCGCAACTAAAGCCGCCGAATGCACTAAACACATTCCCGCCTCACAATGATTACTCCTCTCCATATGCTTCTGGGCCATGTTCTCCAGCCAAGTCAGCCTCAAGTCCGGCGAATTCTGATACCCCTTCGCAATGCGATACATCAAATCCAGAAGCATCTCGGGATCCTCTTGGAACTCTTTCATTTTCACCGTATCAGACAGGATCATGTGGAGATTAAACACCAAATCGCGCACTTGTTCCGGGAACGTGGTTTCCTGAAGCTCCGCGTCTCTTTCGCCGTATTCGAGGATGGTCTTGAGGGATCGACGGAGAGATTCGTCGCTGAAGGAGGCTGAAGTTCCCACCAGGCTACTCAGCGACATTGTGACTTGCATTTTAACGCGGGCGAAGTTCTGGAATTTTTGTGTTTTGACTGAGTTTGGGGTTTTAATTTTAGCTACTCACGTTTCCGATTTGGAAGGTTTGTCGCATTAGTAAGTACAAAGAGGCGGCGGCTTGGGAGCGCACGGAGGCGATCTGTGAGCCGCAGTGCTTCAGGAGCAAGAGGCAAAGGTCAGCGCAGTGGGTGCTTTCTTCATCGAATAACGCGCTGTGGAACTGCATGATAGAATAAATTAAATTGACGCTATTTGCAACACAAAAGAAAAGGTAAGTCATTAGCAGTGGACAAACAAACATGAGGTCATAGCACAATTCATGTTTCAACGTGTTAAATAGATAATTTGAGGAGTGTAGCGGTAAAGGCTACTTGTGGTACGAGAGCTTGAACATGGTCAAGTACTTGATCTTTAGTAATCAGGAGAGTAAATATTTAACTCCATGTAGTAAATGATAAATTGACCATTGTTTTAGGTGTTATTTAAAAGACATTAACTCATTTATTAGTGGAAATATCGACGCTGAATTAAATGACAGGTTGAAATTATTGAAAGCAAAAGTGGTGGTAAATTTCTTAATGTCAATTGTGATCGTGTATATATTTTTTTAACATGTGTATCACTTTTTTAAATAATTTGTGCCATATAATAAGTTGTAAATTGTATTTTATCACATGAGCATAGCATTAATCTAATAAAACTTCAAAAAAATGCCTCACTTCTCCACACAAAGTAGAAACACTTTTTATCATAATAGAAATCTAGTGAACTATATATGATTTAATGGCTCTTTGTGTCAATGTTAAAATATGAGTTGTTCTACACAGAGATTTAATTGTAACAAATGATTCTATGGAAAAAACATAGACACAAAATAACTTAAAAAAAAGCTGGGACCGATTACTGCTTTAATACTTTCACCGCCATCGCTGTATACATTCAATGTGTCATTAAATTTGGCTTCCACCACATCTTAAGGTGGAACGCTAGACGACAGGCAAATTTGAATTACCTAAACGCAAGCAGCAATTCTTCCTAAAAACAGCAGAATAATTTTTTGAACAAGAACTACAACAACACTACTACATAATTAGATGAGAAGTTTTTTCTTTTAAACAGTTTAACCTCATCCAGTGAACAATCGAAAAAACTGACGAATATTGACAATTTGAAAATGACGCAGGACGAAATTTCGGAATAAAATGTACTCCTATAAAAGTTAACATAATGAATTCTTGAAAACGCTTTGAGGTTGAGGTTATCATAAGCATGGTAAATTCAATTAAAATTTATGCGCTTATCCTTTCACAAAAAATTAATTAACTCATCACAAAATTTTAACGAATAATGTTATTTAAATTTTATAGAAGAACATACACCTGCACTTCTGGTTTATAAATCTGTGTCGAGTTCTCACTCTAGACATCCAGACTTTTGGAAAAAAAAAACTCAAAATTGTATAACAATATTTATACTCCTGTAGTTGTGGTTTATGAATTCTTGTTCAGTTTTACGCCTGACATCCAGATTTTTGGAAAAAAAATCAAAACTGTATAGCAACATTGTACGATTTAACTTTAAAATTATACAACCGAATGCTCTGGAATTTTACAGGTAATCAGAAACACGATAAATTGTTAATCATAATTTTAATAATAAAAAAAATCCTGTTCGTTATGAAACGAACTTGTTTTAGACAAAGTATTCATAAAAATATGTATATCGCTAAAAAATGTACCTTTATTTGTCCTGACTGCGATTACGGCACAGTATATTTACGGTTTAAATATTTCAAATAATCCTAACATCGAAACTTGAAGTTACTGGACATATGTGTTTTATTAAATACTTCCTTTCAGAAGAAAAAAAGAATCTTAGCTGCTGATACGTGTTAAACAATGGCTACATAGTTTTAATATTTATAAAATATTTATTAAACATATTACAATGAATCTGTAGTGATAGTAAAGTAGTACGTACATTTTTAATCTACCATGGACTAGAAATATTAAAAATCTAGCAGTTTCTAATATAATAATTGACACAATAGCATTCATTCTTCCGGATGACTTGTATAAAATCGAATTCGTTGTCCTAAATTAGAAAAATCAGCCGAGAACGCTAATAATTACTGAAGGGTAGGCTGTAGGCCAGAACTAACTATTCCAGGGTCCGTGGCGCATGTGCATCAAAATAATATGAAAATATACAATACAATCTTTAAAAATATGAAAATTTTATGAAATGCAACAGAAAATATTCAATTAATGCAAATCTATTACAGTTAATAAAATGATAACAAATAAATGTAAAATTTGAAGAATAAAAAACTTAAAAATTCTAACATTAAACAAACGTCATAACTTGTTATAACACATCCAAACTCAAGACCATAGGAAAAATGCAAAATTATTTCTATAAAATATTTATAAAATAAAAATAAGTTTTTAATAAAAAAAATCACAAACGCAATTGATATTTATTGGAAATCTTTTGCCTTCTTTGTAAAATAATTGAGTAGATTAGCCTTTAGTTTGTTAACACTTTTTTGAAGCCTTCCAGCTTCTCTGTATGTAGGGTCAGTTTGTACTAGAGCCTGAGCAACATTTACTTCCACAATATTGTTATTCTTTACAGCTTTTGATAATTTTTCATTGGCATCCAGAAGCAGTACCAGCCTTATTTTTATTTTTTTCTTTAGATTGAATGTCTTTTCAATTTTTCTTCTAATTTTTCTTTTTCCAGCTGTTTTTCTTTTTGATAGTTTTCTTTCGCTTGTTTCTTTTTTCTTTCTTCTGTTAAGTAAACTTCATATGCAGCATTTGCATGAAGGCAGAGTAAATTCTACTTTATGTCTCAGATACAGTCAGTATCGCATTGAACGTTTTTTCGTGTAGTTCGTTTCGATCTTTAGTGAGAATTCGAATTGAGTGGGAAAATCCACGCGCAACGTCTGCATTTCCATGAGTAAGAGAAAGCAGTGTTTGAATTACTTGCTGTAGATTACAATATTTAATTTTGCTATTAACAGTGAACTTAAATATTATACTCCAAAAATGATCAATTCTCATATTGAAATTACTTACATAATTCATTATTTCAGTTTGCAAGACTTTCCATTCATATACCAAACCTACAAAATTTGAAAACTTGGGAATATTTCTAGATAAAAATTCAATATAATTATTATCTTTGATTGTTTTGTTTGATGGCTTTAAGGAAAGAAGTGTCTTCAAAGAGACCCACTTTTTGGATAATATATTTGCATGACGATATATAATGTTTTCGTAGTTTATCAGTAAACAATATTTTAGTTTTTTTTTTTTAATTTTGCTATTTGATAATTCTTTAGCAACACTTGATCCAATATGAGTTGAGGCATTTCTAACGAAATTAAGTTATTTACTTCAAGAGCAGAAGCAGAATGTATATCGTTTCTGAAATCTTCAACTATTTCTGGTTTGTCCAAATCGAATCGATAAATTTACTATCAAATTTTTAATCTCTTCAAAAACTAAGTGACTTATATTAGTGGTTCATTCATTTTTCATAATCACCATATCTTGCCGGTCTATTCTTAAAAAAATATTTTACTGCAAAAAGTAAATCGACCACTTCTTGGCCAAATTCATTTATTTCGTTCAGGAACACATTATTTATTGTATGCAGACTATATGTGCCCACATCAATAAGCCGTAAGCCCCTTGATTTCGACGCCACATATCGTAGAAAAATTTATTTCTTATGACAATATTCTCCGAATTCTGCAATTCTGATTAATTTATGCAGTTTTGCAATTTTGTCCGTATTTTATGAAAGTTTGGGCAAAATTTGCAAAAATATGAAAGAATATGAAGCCAAGTAAAAAATAGGAATATTTTCATAAAATATGAAGCGAGTACGGACCCTGTCATTCAAACTTTGCTGAATTCAGACCCATTTTTTCAATAATTAATTGTTCGGAGAGGAAAAACCAGAAAGACAATGGTGATTTTTTGACGATATTTCATAGTCACATTTTTTCGGTTGATTGAACTGTTTTCAGGGGCTTAGAACATGAAAAAAGCTGCAGTTTGATGTATAATACATCTATATTAATACCATTTTATCATAGAAAAAAGGAAAAATTTGTTATACCTCCTCTAGCGAATCCCCTTAATATTATTTGTGAAACGAAATTTGAGACAACATTGAGATATGTGAAATAATTAAAAATAATACATATAAAATGTCACTGGCATCTTCTTGACAGGCAACACTTTCATATGGTGCTTAATGTGATAATAAATACATTTTTGACCCACTTTTTTTTTAAATTTGGTTGTTACTGAAGTTTTTTTTAAAAACAATTTTGTCATATATTTAAAAACAATTTTACTATGATTATCACCACTTACCTTGAAAACCAGACTTCTCTGCGACGCAAACAAATGCGGTAAAATAGTCGTACTCTGATTTTTGCTCAACGCATGTAACAGAACAGTCAAAGCCAACCCAACCAAGCACTGCTGCGAATCCCACTGGGCAACCGTCGCCACACACCGCTCCAAAGTATCTAGAATAATAAAAGACGCCTCTGTGGCAAAATGCCCCTCCAAATGAACATCATTGAACAAATCCTCCTTCGGCCTATCAACCACATCCGCTATCGGCCTATACGCCGCCATCTGCTCCTTCCTCCACCTCAACTTCGTCTCGCTCGAACCAGGATTCTGAATTCCGCCCTTCCTCCTCTGCATCATCTCCCTTGCAGAACCCTGGCCTAAAATCACATCTTCCAACAAAGATAACCCGTCTTGGGAGACCTGCGCATGCGCATAACCAGACGGCGGAGGCGCTCTGCGCCTGGGTCTATACTCAAAGCAACTAGTACAAGCGTCTAGTAAGTGTAAAAGAGTCGCTAGTTTTGAAGAGGTCAGTTCGCCCAGCCACTGCGATAAAGACTCGCGTTCCACATTTTTCAACACCCATAGAACGCAAGTGAGGAGGTTTCGGGTTACTTCGGCACTAATACCGGATTTGCGGTTCTAAAAATAAAGTGTAGGTGGAACTGTGATGGGGTTTATAGTGCTAAGTACCGATTGTAGGTTGTCGCAGGTGACTGGAGACACTTTACCAGCGATGGCAAGTGCCACGGTTTGGTTAATGTTAGGTTCTTCATCGGTTGGATAGCGGTCACTTTTGTCGGAAGACCAGCGATGAAGAAGAGGTAGTACATCCATTGCTATTGATAGAAGGGGTAAGTAGAGAGCGGCTACGCGCCTGCGCGCCTCTGGAGTTGAGTAACGTGGGTCGCTATCGTGCCAGGATAATAACGACTTTATTGTGTCGACGGCTTTAATGTGAAGATTGGGTTTGCTAAAATTCAATAACTTAAAAAAGTTAGTTCTTTGTGAAAGTATAACTTACTTCATATCCAAAAGAATGCTGGTAACGTCGTTCAGTACAATTCCTGTCAAGTAATGATGCTGCCTATACTCCGGTGATAGTTCAGCAAACGTGCTAACCCTTTCCTGGCTAGCCGGTGGTCCTGACAGAAATGAATTCTGGCTAGTCGAACTAGTAACACTCGGACTCGGTGAAACTGATGGTCCAGTGACCATAAACGGAGTCGCAAAAGGTAAATTCAGCGCTACGTAATGCTCATGACTACACACAATCCTTGCACACTCCAACTTCAATTCCACCAATACAGCGGCGTCTTGCATTGACATTATCTTCGCTTGCAGTTGCTTATTGTAGTACCGTATCGCATTAAACACCGCACCTCTATCACAGATCGACAACAAATCAAAGAAGAAAAACGCCAAAGCAGCATTCAGTGTATGTGCCCTTCTAATATCGCTCGTAGAATGTGAAATTATCTCAGCAGTGATCGTATGAACCAGAGAGAATATATCGTCGAGGAATTGTTCAGAGAAACGCAATTTCCTTGGAGACTCTAAACTCCTGGTGTGAGCTAGATGCTCCACCATGCTTTTGATGATCAATTCGAACAAAAACCACGCATTTTGCATCGCGAGGTCTTTAATTCTACCGCTGGAAACCACCCACTGTAAGGCGATTTCGTGATGGACTATTCTTTGGCAAGCGTTAATGCTCGAGCTGATTTGATCGTTGTTTGGAGCTCTCATGCTAGCGGCTCTATCTAAACCTCGGTTTTGTTGTAAATGGGCGACCTCTAGGTCGGGGTTTGAGTTGCTACGAGTTAAAGAGGTGCCTTCCTCCCATTCGGGTGAACTGTGATTGCTGGTTGATAAAGGATGGGGCAGATTGCATTGGTAGTGGATGTATGTGGTTAACAGTGTGTTGCGAGAGTGTTGATCGACGGGTAGGTCAAGTTTCTACAAAAGTACTGTTGTAACGTTTATTATACGTGAAGGGGTTATTACCGAGATGTTTTCTAAAAGTAAACAGAAGGCTTCAAATGTCGTCTGGCCAATGTTTAACGTATGACCTGAGATTCTTGGAGGCTGAACTAAAAGTTCTAAGATGCTGTCAAAGATTAGGGGGAGATTTTTTACGATTGCTTCTGGTTTAGCGCCCGCTAAACTTAACAGTGCAGCTCTGTATACAACGATTACAATTAATATTACTATTTATGACGAGACGCTACACTAGCTTGAGGTTTTCAATACATTACACACCATTGTCCTAATATTAGTAAAATACATTGATATTTTTTTATCTGTAAACATAAGGCTGTTCTATTTCGTATTCTACGGAAATAAGTTTTGCTAGATTTTGCGTATTGCTTAAGTCGATCGCGTGCTTGTCTGCTCACAACTGGAAGAAAGCCCAGCTACCTTATTTTCCTTCCGTATAAGCAATCCGTTTTGTTTCCAAACTTAAAATGTTGAAAATGAGAACATATTTTTATGAACCTCAAATCTGTTCTCGTGGGTATAATCCTGCGTTTTCTTTATTATTATTAAAAAAAGAAACATTACACGTATGTTTTCATTTTCATTAATTTTGTCAATTTTTCCTCGTTTCTGTTAAGTATTACTTTTTATACAAAGTTTTCAGGTTTTTGTTTCGTTGTTTGTTATTGAGCTCGGCTTAGTTATTGCAGAGTGAGTGTAATATGATATTACACTGTGTATAGTTGAAACTAATTTTATTGCATGCTATTTAAAAAACCATATCTCTAGTCTTTCACTTTTTTTATTACTATTAGAACTAGAACTAGAACTAATGAAATATCGAGGAGCGTACGTTTAGTGACAACAATCGACGCGAAATCATAAATTAATTAAATATTCCAATGATGAACAACTGCACGAAACTGCATTTTAAGTTTACTAAAAAATAAAGACATCAAGTGAATATGAACCAGTATTTTGTAAGTTCTTGTAACTAATTTTAACTTTGTGTTTCATTTTACATACTAGTTTATAACCGCGTACATGAAAATATGGTGGATGCGGCAGGTGCAATTCAGGGATGTTGCGAATATTCGGATCCGCAGCCGCAAATGCGGAGCTTCCGCATTGATTTGGACATCCGCATCCGCATGCGCATCCGCAATAATCAATACGGAACTCATGCGGATGCGGATGTAAATGTGGTGCAAGTCGCGACAAGCGACAAGAAAGAAATTAGTTGGAGCCGACGAGTGACGCATAGTGTGCACTCGTGATGTATTGACCAATAGGGTGACAAGAATTTTACTTTCGGTGTTGCGTTTCGCACGTCAGAACGTGTTTAGTCGGGGTTGCGCGAATTGTGAACGTTTTGTTTTTTGTATGTTATTGGACAAGTGAATCTACAATGGCACCTCCGATGCAAAGTGAGATTTGGACTTATTTTAAACCAGATGATGATCGAAATAAAGCTCAGTGTATAATATGTAACAAAACATATTCTCGCAAGGGTCGTACCACTTCGTCTTTGAAAAATCATCTGAAATCCATGCACCCAGAACAGTTTAGTTTGTTCGAAAGTTCGAGTAACGAAACACAAATGCAGAAGATGAAAGCTGATGCACGTAAGTTTTACTATCAACAGTGTTATTTATTAGCCTTAATAAAGCATTTTTCTTTTATTAATTACTTAAAAGTATATTATTCTTAATAGATTCTCAGATAAGCTGCTTTAAGAAATTAATTAAAATTAACAGAAATGTTAACAGCAGATAAGCCCAAAGTTGGTTTATTTTGTATTCAATACAAAAAAGACGATGCAATAAAAGTTTCGTTATTTAAAATCTATTTTGCATCCGTTTGTTTTTGTTAATTTCCATAAGTTATAATTTATGTGTCTATTTATTTTTAGATAAAATCCTCACTCCACTACAAGAAGCAAAGAAACACCTTTTGATAGAGGAAGCAGTTCAAAAAGAAAAAAAGTGGGATACTAACAATTCAAATTCGAAAAAAATTGACAAACTCATCGGAGAAATGATTGCACTTCAAAATTTACCGTTTAATTTTGTAGAGGGACTCGGTTTTCGCAGACTGCTACAAGAATTATCACCAAGGTATAATTTAAGAGGGCGCAATTTTTTTACTGACTTTGTGTGCACGGAACTGTATGGCAAAGTTGCTCACAAAGTTAAAGAATTAATAGAAAAATTTGATTACATGGCGTTTACTTCTGATATTTGGTCGGATCCAAGCTCTAATGCATCTTTGCTTACCCTGACTTGTCATGGAATCGCAGAAAACTTTGATCGATCATTAATTATATTGAAATGCGAGACCTTCGACGACCGTCACATAGGTGACATAATTGCAGAAAAATTTGACAAGATGCTTACTGAATGGAATATTTCAAAAGAACAAGTGCACTGCATTATTCGTGACGAAAGCTCCAATATGAAAAGAGCTATGCGATTAGCAGTATTCAATGATTTGGATTGTGCAGTTCACAAGATGCAACTCGCAATTCGAAGTGGTTTACAATCGCAGGAAAACATAACAGTCGTCAAACAGAAATGTAAGAAAATTTTGACTCACTTTAACCATTCCACCATTGCTCAAAAACAACTGCAAAAAATCCAGGACAGACTGAATCAACCGCATCTCAGAGTGTTTCAAGATTGTGTAACGCGATGGAACAGTACGTTTTACATGTTTGAGCGTTTTTTAAAGGTAAAAGATGCATTAAGTCTTTATATCAATGACAGTGAAATTGACCCTATTTTGCCAGAAGAGTGGAAAATTATTGAATGTTGTGTTGAGTTACTGAAACCTTTTGAAGAAGCCATACGGGAACTAAGTAACTCTCAAACACTTATATCATCTGTGATTCCAATAATTAAAATGCTTGGAAAAAAACTTGATGATTATTTAACAAGACCACAGGACTCTGATCCAATTCGGGTGGCTGTCACGACTCTGAAAACTGAAGTTTCAGCAAAATTTTCTTTGTTGGAAAAGAACAATTTATATGTCATAGCCACGTTCTTAGACCCGCGTTATAAGCACAAGTTTTTTACACCAGTGACCGAGGAAAAGATTAAGGACGATATTTTGAAGATTAGGACAAACATAGAGAATGATGTCTCGAACTCTCAAATATCTCTAAATTTGAAAGCAGCGAAAAAAATGAGAATGGGAGATTCCCTCGTGAAAGATACGGAACAACCTGGAACATCCGGTACAGCCAGAAAGCCATGCTTGAAAAGCGATCTTGCCATGATGCTAGATTCGTCAAGTGAAGATGAGAGTCAAGAAATATCAGAATATGATTCCCCTGATGCTGTCCTCAAGAAGGAATTGCTTTCGTATCGAAATAAAGCAAGGCTGAATATAAATGAAAATCCACTTAAATGGTGGAGCGTTAATCGCACCGAATTAAAAATTTTGTCTGGAATAGCACGCAGATTTTTATCGCCTCCACCAGCTAGTGTTCCCAGTGAACAGTTATTTAGTAGCGCAGGATTAATTTATGAACCTCTGAGAAATAGACTCGAACCTGAAAAGGCCGCAATATTACTTTTTATTAAATATAATTCAACAATTTTTAAATTTTTGTACTAAAAATTTGTTTATTAAATAAAAATATCAAAAACTCCCATTGTTTTAACTGATTTCTGTACATATATTAAGTTTCTTAAAGAAACTTGAGATCCGCATCCGCGGATGTGAGCCTCCAAAAATTCGCATCCGCATCCGCGGATGTTGAAAAATCTGCATCCGCAAAATCCCTGGACTCCATATAGTAGATACTTGTGTTCTAATCTACTTTAAGTCATCACAATTATTCTAGAACTCGGTGCTTAAAGAGAAAGACTTTTTCTGAAAATATACTTTGAGATTTGGCGGACATTTTTTTCAAGCTAAGAGAACTTTACGTGCTTTTACACTAATATTTACTAAAATTATGACAAACATTTTTGCTACTTCTGTCTTAGCCGTCGCTTACTAAACTCAAATTTTCGTTAAATATCGTTGGGAGGTAATGTGAAATCAAATTAATTTATGCTGAAACAGTTCAAAAATTAAACGAGTAATGTTCTTAGCTTTTATTAATCAATGCTTTTAGCAAACATAGTTAGATAAATATTATAATTAAAAATTTCACCCCCAGTTAAAAATATTAGTACTTTAAAAATGTGATTATAGCATTTTTGATTTTTAATTATTATTAATCTATCTGTAACTGGAAAATTAAATTTTTAAAATTTTGTGAGACCAACAAACTAAGAGGGATAAATTTATTTTAAACAATTACAAATTTCTGAAAAGTGCGTTTCTCTTAGTTAGTCAGTGAAAGTATCTGTAAAGTTTTGAGTAAAATGTTGGCCCGGAATTTATCTTTTTTAAATCTGGTGAATTTTTTTTAGAATTTTTATCCCGCTAATCTTGTCTGGTGTCAATACAATCTAAAGAAAATTGTTGTAAAAAATTATTTTGTTTTAAGTACAAAATGCCTGATTTATGTTGTTTAGTAAAAATTATCACAGGAAAAGTGTTGGCAAACCATTAATTTTTGAGCAATTTTTTATCATTTACCCAAAAATTTACGTAGATTTAAGAAATTTTTGACTGTGTACGATGGTATTTATTTTAAATTAAGGGCGCCGTCTGGAAGCAAAATATCGGCCTAGTCAAAGTGAGAATAAAACTACCCGGGAGATGCTGCCTCCTGTTAGTGAGTTGCTAAAATATGAATAAATGGAGCACCGATCCGTAGAATTCTACTTTTTACTGTACGGAAATAAGTTTTGGTACACAAGCCCGCAGTGCCTATCTAGCCATAATAATTGCAAACAAAACCGGGGTATCTCAATTTACCCTTGACCGTTCAAAACCGGAAAGATGTGAAACTCACTGATTCATTTTCCTATTTTGGCTACAGTTAATTCTTTCCAGTTAATTATCTATTTTGTTTCCGTACTTAAATAGTTTTCAGTAAATACTTATATTTATTTATGTAAATAATTAAAGTACTTCTTTCTGTCGTGGGATCATCTGTAGATATGTGATTTATTCCTATCAAGGGTGTGTTTTTTGTCTGAATTACAGGAACATCATGTAAAGCAAAAATTGGTCGCGCTAAGGTACTATTTACGAAGGGGAGGGATTTTCCACATTTGTAGGCTAAACTTGAAATAAAAGGATTAGGATTAGGATTCAGGTATAAGTAAATATTTTTATTATTTCCTACTATCTGCACTGGCCGGACATACCCATTCATTACAAATAAAATATTTTTGGCGGAAAATTTTTCTTAAACTTTCGCAAATAAATAATATTTAGGAGTTTGGTTTTGTTATTTACTTTATCGTTTGCAACAAAAGCAATAGTAATAAAAATAAAAATATATTTACCAAGTAAATAACAATAAAATGTTAAAATTATTAGCCGCAATCGTTTGAACATGTTTTGTGTTGTTGTTTTTTTTTAATATCGCGGCAGTGATGAACATTAGTAAAATAATAACGTGTCCGTGAAGCCATTAGGCACATAGCATTTTTTTTACTTTTTTCAACGCAAATCATTAGTAAGTTTTATGCAAGTAATTCTAAGCATTCAACGGTGGTTTTTATGTAACTACTAAAATATTCATGTTAATTATTTTGGCGGCTAACTGCATGGCAGAAGGCAGTTTATTTCAAAATTTGACTTTGCTTAAACTGCTTGTTAGTATATCGTTTTGTAAGGATTTAAATAATTAATCATACATTTTTAATAGAAGCAGCTGCTATTTTTTATGCATATTAATTTTGACTTGCACTTTTAATTAAGTATATCATATGCTTGTGCATCGTAAACCTCATTTTTTTTTGTATATGGTGTAAATATTTTTTGTTCACTACATATTTGTCATACTGTTTCGGAAACATTCAATTGTAAATTTTAGGCTTGAACAATATCTTGAACGTAATTTTAAATTCGGGAAACAATTGTTACTCAATGGAGTCGAAAGCATGTACAAGGGATAATTTCAGTCCACAGACCCAGTCCCACTTCCGGTGACAAACAAAAGTTGTTAAATTTATTGGAGGTGGTTGTTTACATCTAGCTGGTAGAAATAGTAGAATCCTATGCATGTAATTGTTTGAAATGCACATAAAATACCTTCAATATTTTAGAGCTGTTTTAATTTTGTTATATATAATTAAAATAAGCAGCATTTACAAATATTAATATTGCATAGGTTCCGTTTGACAAATGTGTGCTGTGAAATTATACTGAATATTACAGTCTGGGTAGCAAGTCGCTAACCCGATTTGTTCTGTTACTATCCTACAGAAAATAATATGCTTTTCTACCAGTCATCAATTCATCTCTTTTTAATCATACCCATATCGACGTAGGTTGATTTATGATTACAAAACTTTGACATAGTTTTACTTCTTTCATCTTCACAAACAACTCAATGACGTTTCAGAGTATATATAATAAAACACGTTTTACTTTTATTTTTTCATAGAGGATAAAAAATAATTAATGTAAAACAGATTTATATGTGCCTCAGCTGCGGAGGATTGTAAATAACTTTTGATCTCTTAAATGAAATATACTTAATAATTAACATAACGTATGTCTTTTTTACTGTTTTAGTAAAAAAGATGGATACGTTATTTTGTCACTCCTAAAAAACCAGTATTCAAACGGCATCAATGAAACCGAAATGGTATTGTAAAATCGGAAATGCTGCTATCAATATTTTATTCCGATAAACCACTGATTAAAAACAGCTCCCCCTGGTGGACAAGGTCCACACTAAATTAAGTCTGCAACCAAACCAGAATCTAAGTAAACCTGTATTCTGCTACGGCATCATAGCTCGTTTAATGGCGATTTCTCGTTTCAACAGATTCTGTCTTTTCGAGAGTTATTTACCTCAGTCGTGAATTTTTTAGTATTATAAATGGTATTAAAAGAAAGCTGACACTTTTCCCCAGGGGACCTCCTATCTCAGAATGCAAATCACTTCAGGACTTCGTCAAAAAATGCATCAATGTACCGGTTAAAGTCTGGTGTAAAAGTTGGTCAACTTTATAATTTTTTTTGTAAAAACCGCGAACTAGATATGAATATAAATATGGAGGTCCCCTGGACTGAAGTTTGTTAATTCGAAATATAATTTTTTTAAAGCGATATATCCCGTATTTTTAAAATGCAACCCCGGAAACCACGACGATGTTTTCAATGTATTTAGTATAGGACGAAACCGAACCAGACGCAAGCCTTAAACTGAATTAAATTTTAATCGAAATTATAATAAAAAATTTAATACTCCTATATATTTTAGGAAAAAAAAAATGGGTGAAAATATGAAATTTTCTCAAAAAGCGCAATTAAACTGATAAAAAATTTTAACGTTCACTGAATACGAAACTGTAGGTTTCTGGCTTCCGTCCTGAAATCAATTAAACTTCAACTTTACGTTTTATTTCAGACATTAGACAAAACTTCTTCGCAACGATTACGATGACATCCCAAAATAATTTTCAAAGAATGTTTTTAAAAAATTCGCTTCTGTAATGCCCCCTTAGTTTTTTAAATTTCTTATCAAGTAATGTAAAAAAATCTTATTTATGTGTTATTATAGAAAAATCTAACATACAAGGTGAGTCACTATGTGAGTCATAGAACAAAACTGTACGGTTGTTTAAGGACTATATTCTAAAATTATTTTTTACTATACACTCTATATACCTACATATTTTTACAAATTCTGATTGACCTCTCCTCAAGCTTTACAATCACAGTTTATTTTTGAGATTGCCATGCGATGTTGCCATGTTATTACAATTTTCTTGAACTTTTTTGGTAATAGCAGGGTTCGAAAAAGAAATTCCAGTAGGGTTATTTTTAACATCTGTGTTATTTTGTGGATAGACGAAATTAAATTTTCATGTACAGAGTGTCGATATTTCAGTTTTCTCAAATAGAACACCCTGCATTTTATTTTATTTTTTGTTCCCTTTCTTTTTTATTAAGTATTTTCTATATTTAAAGTTGATAGTTACCCACTGCAGTTTTTATCGGATACATCGACATATTAAAAGAATAAAAACAGAAAAGTAGAGTAAGATAAATTTCGATATTTGAAAATTGTAAAGTTTATTTTTTTATAGGCACTCAGTATATTAAAACTTGGTTTAATTGACACCACAACAAAGCTCCTATTAATATTTAATCAATCTTTTGAAACACAGGTTTTCACTACAAAAGGAAAAAAATCTAAGGTCTGGCATGTCTTGAAGTCCGGTGATGCATCTAAAGTTGAAAATTACAGACCGATTTCCCTCTTTTCCAATTTTTCTGGAATCTTCAAATTGATTCTACATTCTTATATCTATCCTATATTGAAAATTTATATATCAGAGCATCAGAATGGTTTTTAAATTGTAGATCAAGAACGATAAACATTTAGTAAAATCAGTCTTATCTTGGCAAGTACTAGTATCGCCCACCCGCCCTTTATTTTTTTAGAGGGTATATCATTAGGCAAAATCAGTCTTAACTTAGCAAGTACTAGCCTCGCCCACTCGGCCTTTATTTTCTTAGAGAATAGGTCCTTTACCAAAATCAGTCTTCTTTCGAAATCACAAACGAAATCGTTATTAAAATAATTTCTATAAATGACAGGAAGTGAATTTGGAATTCAGATTTTTCTACTACATTTTGCACTTTTTTAAATCTTTTTCGATATATTGCAGTTTGAAGTGACTCTTTGTTTAATTAGTATTTATTCAAAATTAATAGACAACAAGAAATCGCGGAGAAATACCATAGAAGAACAAACATGGGTTTTCTCCATTGGAAGTCATAAATACCTCATGATTATGCAACCAACATTATCAGCGCAGGCAACTCGATTGTTTCAAACAAATGGCAAACATTATTTTCTAATAATTTCGGAGATTAATCTCTTTCATAAAAGCACCAACAAACAGACAGACTGACTGACGGAAACGATAGACCGACACATTTTCGTATTCTACAAGATGTGAAACGTTGAAAATCAACAGGTATTTACAAAACCATAAAAATCCAATAAATGCGATTTCTGGTTGAATCAGATTTGAAAATGTATTGAAAACTCGTGCTGGAAGTAACGACTCGGTTTAAGTAAATTAACCTACCGTAATTCGTTTTCGAGTCCAGCTTCGCCCAGCCTTGGTGGTATAACACCAGTGTGAACATAGTCATAGGCAGATAAAAATCGTTCAACTGCTGGATCATGTGTATGCACTGACGAAACTGAATCTAGATGCACAGTGAACAGTCCTTTATGATTATCCAGCCACTTTGTACCAGGTAGATAAACATCAGGGGGTATATAACTGTAATTCTTAGGGGGTGTTTCTAACATAACTGGTAAACAAAACTCTCCAGAGATTAATCTACCATCACGAATCAAAGGAAGCCACTAAAATATTCATTATAAGTTACTACCACACTGAGTTTTCACCTACTTACTGTATATCCCACTGGAGTGTCAACAGACGACTGCTCCACCTTCTTCTGGCACGAAATGTGATAAAAAGTAAATAATAGATGATGATTATCCGACAAGGCCGCCGGCAACTTCATTTTAATTTCGTCGTAAAAGAACGGATTTTTGCTGTGGTACGTTACCACCGTATACGCTTCGTTGGTCATTTCCGGACAACTAGACTTACCATAAATATTACACAAAGCTTGATTTTCACTCTCTCCCGCCATTAATTGCACTTTGACTGTAAGATTCCGTGCCGAGCCGGCCCGATTCGAAAAATTTAACTCTTTTGGACTGACGAACAACAAATTTCGGTAATTGTAGTGCGGCACAAGCAGTTCTTTCATCGAGAATTCTAGCAATTCTTTGACTGGTCTACTTTTATCGTCTGGATACGGATAAAGTTTGACCAGTTCTGTTGTCAAACAATTTTTGTATTCGCCGGGGCACGGTGCTATCTCTAATTTTAAAGTGGCAGGAATACATTTCAGTTTCTTAAGTATCGTCGTTGGTTTTTTTAATTCATGAAGGCACTTGTAGAGATCCTCGTCGCGTAATTTTTCACCTTCTTGTTTGAAAAACGAAGAAACTGTGAGAGTTATAGGCCGAAATGACTCGAGAGTCGAGGCTAAGTGATCGGGTGACCATGAACGTCGTTTGTCTGTTCTTCGCTCTAGAGAACCTCGGCGTGTTAAGCTCCCCATGTCTGTGGCTCTTCTGCGTAGCTGTTCTAAGCTACTACTACCCAATTTTCGGTCTTAAATATTAAAAATTATTTGTGTCTACTGTTGTATAAAAAAATAAATACCTAAACTATTTGTCGTGGAGCTAGAACTAAAGGAGTCTCTATCGGAATCTCTTTCCAAAGAATTTCCTCCGTTAATTACGTTCATTAAATAAATTCCAGTCCAAGCAAATGCTTGTCTATATTTGCCTAAACGTTCGCACACAGCTACCGCATTTGCTTTCAGTTTATCACGGTTCTGAAACATTTTAATAACTACTTTTTGGTTTAAAAATGCGTACAATAAATTACCCGTTCCTCTTTCATATATGGTTCCACGCACTCACTTAAGTCACCCTGAAGAACTTTTTCTAATCTAACCACCAAAAATAGATCTGGAGAAGGATTTGAAATATTGAAAATGCAACCTCTAGCAAGTGTACTAGTGTCACTGTAAGGCACGTGGCCTCCTAACATACGTTTTAGACCTTCTGGATTTAAGTCAAAATAAAATGTTTCTGACAATTTTTTACGTTCTTTTGAGTCGTATAATGCCATGGAGGCAAATAGTGGTTCTACTTCCAAATCCAACCTATATAAATTCATCACAGATCAGTCTTTTTTAGTAAAAAAAAAAAATCAAACGTCGCGCAAAAAGTAAAATAAATAAAAATCGAAGTTTTAAAAATAACGTTTAATTAAAATGTGTTTAGTTTTCAACTTACGTTAATTGATGGCACTTCACCAATATCCTGTGACCCAAAGGCTCGGTAGGGGGCGCTGCAGGCATCCTTCTCTCAATAGACTCACCTGTGTCCCTCTCAGGACCTGAACACATTGCAAATAAAGCATCTTGTCTTTCAATCTGACGCCGACTTTCGTTTAATTGATCTAATGCCTCAGGCGCATTTTGTTCTAAGATTTCAGATATCAGCGGATCTCCCGCGGAATGTCGCAAATCAAGAGAAGCCCATGAATTTCTAGGTGTTAAAGTATCACCACAAGATGACACTGACACTAAAGATGCGATACTTTGGCGGCTACTGCTAGATATGGAAGTTAAATCAGATTCACTAGTAGTGTCAAAATTACTGGGCTGAAAGTCTATTTCGAATTCCTGTTTGGGGCTAGGCTGTAAACTTTTGGATAAATTTGTCCTGCTTGCAACGCTACTGCTGAGATTCCTGTGATTGTATCTAACTACTTTCCAGTTGGAAGTGTAGCACTCAACACAACCTTCTACATGGGGTGGTAAAGTTTCACTAAAATTTGATGGTTATGAAGTTGTTGTAGTGTTATTATATTTTTACAGTTTCTCTTCTGGTAAAATCGGGTTAAGCGTTCTTATGGGTCTTTCAATTACATCAACTTCTACATCACCATGAGGCACATCTAGAATTGACCGAAGGGGGTCTCGATCAATTAAATTTTGGTATTGACTTAAAAACTCTTCAAAATCGATTGGGTCCACTACATCGTTTGTCCAGCTCTGTAAATATGAAATAAAACGCGAAAAGTTGATACACTGGGTGAACTTACAGAGGAAGAGGAAGGCGATATTATGCCCCCTTTGTGACAGGCTACATTTCGACGGACATCCGCGGCATGGTGCCTAAAATATCACACGAATTAAATATAACTCAACAACTTACACACTTAATGCACTCACTTGGATAATTTTTGAGTGAACGCCCTGGCGTTCGAAGTCATTTTATTTACGGCTGTCACTTGGCTGTCAAAAATGTCAACCGGCTGTCAACCTGTCACATTAATATTTATAGGTGGCGCTAAATGTCAACTCCAGTTTTATCCATTTTTTACACACTAATAAGCACCACACAAATACTAAAATCGCGTTATTTCTTACAATACCCTTTTTTCGTTGTATTCACCCAAAATGCATATTTTCGTCCACTCATTAAAATAAATATTTCTGAAAAAGTTCAGCGTGTTTTTAAAACTGGCCACTGCCTTGTGGGTACCGAAGTTGGCCGATGTCAAGTCGAGCTTTGTTGAGTACGCCTTGTTGGACACAATCGACCAGTGGAAGAATCTATTTTCGCCATTTGCTTTGCGTGTTTGTGCATCTTTTGTTGTGTTTATGTTTGTGATGTAATTTAACTTTCCTGCGATGGAGGTTAAAATAGAACCGAGCGTGTTTGATATAAATAAGATATGTAGGGCTTGCCTCTCGGAAAAGGGTGAAATGAGGTCTGTGTTCTTGACCGATGAATCCACCGGACATGCTATCATACTTGCAGAAATGATTACTGGAATCTCTTCCGTACAGGTTAACATAAATTTTTAATTATTTATTGCAAAGATTCAAAGTTGGGTGATGTACAGAATTTCACAATATTTACGTTTTTGTTGGTTGACGTTAACAGTGGGTTTTAGTAAATAAATATTTGTTAAATGGTGTGATAAGCAGGTGGTATTTTTCATTTTTATTTTGTTAATGTGTGTTTTGTGTTTTATTATTCACCTGTTAAAATAAAACTAAATGGAAGTATAATTTTAAAAACAAAAACAAAGAACAAAAGGTGCTATGTAAAAGTTAGCAGAAAACAAGCAAATATTGCTCCTGCACGTTGAATTTGAGATCCTTGGACTATTGTGAATAGATCTATCTTCTCTGAAAATTTCACTGTTGTCGACAGATTTTTATCTGTGAAATGATGCAGTGCAAGTGAATTTATTATTACATGCTTTTCTAGAAAATAGAAAAAACTGAGTTAATGGAACTAACAAAAGTAAAAGATAAAATAAAACTATAAAACTGATTTATCATACTGCTGGGTGGGAATCCTATAACTTCCACACTTTTATTAGTTTTTCAAACCTACTGACAGACAGAAGCAGACGGTTTTATTCAAAAGTGTAGATCACTAAAGAAACAATTTTTTTTTTTTGGAAGGGGACCTTTATTGACTGGGGATTATTTTTCTAAATATGTAATGCATTTTCAGTTTTTTTTTGTTTATACACCCTGTACATGTAATTCTAAGGGTATATAAAAACAGTCAATTTAATTATCAACCCATAAAAGGCAATAGAGTCAAAATTTTCTTATTAAGCGTTAATCTATGTACATATGTTACTTATATGTATTTGTCACTTAACATGTACTTTCCTAGATTTGTGTTTCAATAGGTTGTATCTATTGTGATGCAAATTCGTATCACCTGTCAACAAAAACAGGAAATTTCAGAAAAAGAAAACAGGTGGTTTTATACGGGGTGATCGAAACTGACGAATAAGCCGATGGGACATTGTTAAAAAGGCTTTGAAGAACCTGAAAAATGGATAAAAAAATCCCTGAACCAAATTTTCAAAGTTGAACAATTAATTTCGTAATTCTGATATGTTTTAATGTGAATTTAATTGACAGTAAAAAGTGACGTAGATCGTATTCTAACAAATTATTATTAAATTATTAACAAATTTTCAACAGTTTGGTGCAGGTTTTTTTTAACCTTTTCTTTGAGCTCTTCAGAGCCTTCTTAAGAGGAGTTGCTACGTTTGGCTCTTATGGTGTTGTCAATATAGTTTATTATATATTTTTTAAATTTTGTTGAAATTTTTCCATTACATACGTATTTAAAAAATAAAAACAATATTTTAGTTATATATTTATGGAAATTTTAGAATGCGGTTTTCACCACTGTTTTCAGCTTGCAAAACTTTAGAAATCGTACTAGATCTATTTTCGACTTTATTTATTGGGACTGAGATATAGTAAAAATAAAAGTTTGGCAGCTTCTACGACACAAGCTTTTTTTACTGGGTATCGTTTCTAACAAAAAAAGTCGACGATATATCTGATACGATTTCTGGAGTTTTGTAAACTGAAAACAATGTTGAAAACCGTGTTCCGAAATTTCCTTCAATAATTGAGATATTGATTAAAAAAAATCACTAAAATCAAAAAAAGTATGATCACAAACTGTTTTTAACAAAACTTTCCTTGCGTTATACTGGGTGTCTGGAAAATGGCGGATTAACTCTCCGCTACGCTCTTAACAATCAACTGGTGAGTCTGGAAAAAATAGTAAAAAAAATCCTCACATTTTGGTGGAGTTATAATGATTTTAAAGTTGGTTCTTTTGCTACGTTTAACAACGCATTCATTATCACAATAACTAGTAATAAAACTTTTAGTTAATATTTCTCTCGCCCATGACCATGTTTGATTACCATTTCAGTTAGAATCTACAAATATCTGGTTGTGTTGTTTTTGTAATAATTTGATAAAATTCTATTTGACAACAATGTTTGCCTGATATAAAGCGACGGTACAAATCAGCAAAAAAGTAGTTAAAAATGTTTGACGTATCAAAAATTTCAAACGTTTAAAATATTCGCAGTTAATTTTAGGTCCCCTGGTGTTTTATTTTGGGATAAATTTACAGGAATCTGGTGTTTTGTTGCTGGATGAATTTGAAAAAATCTTTTGAGCTTTTAATGTTTTACGAATCTGAAAAAGTCTTGAGTGCCGCAGTGTTTGGGTACCCATGGTGTTTTATTTTGGGAGCCCATGGAGATTTTTTTTGTAAATTATTTAAAACAATTTTGGGGGACTTTGGTGTTCTATTTTTGGAAAATTCTGACCTGACCTGTTTTTGAGTTAATTTTGGGACCCAGTTTTTTGTTTTGTTTTTTTTGAAAATTTTAAAACAACCTAGCAGATACTAGCCCCGCCCACCCACCCTCTCTTTTCTTAGAGGGTATCTCATTTGCCAAAATCAGTCTTATCTTAGCAGGTACTAGCCCCGCCCACCCGCCCTCTCTTTTCTTAGAGAGTATGTCATTTGCCAAAATCAGTTTTATCTTAGCAAGAACTGATGATTTATTTACTTTATGCACAAATATACATATATGCAAAAATTTTGAACATCTCTAGTGGTTAAGTTGGTTACGCTTTAATGGATTTTTCTTTTGTTGTTTTGTTCAAAAAACGTAGCGACTGACCTACCATCGAGCTTATACGTCATTTTTTGAAAACCCTGTATATAAATGTTTATTCTTGTTGAATGGTGAAAATGTATTAAAATTTGTTATAAATATTTTCTTTTACTTTCAGACTCAGACTATCATTAAGTCTGGTATTTTTTTTAATATTTAAATTTAAAATACGTAAGGTCAATATTACTTCTAAAAAAAAATAACAATAACCTTAAAATTACTGAGGGAAAATTTACAATTAATGTGAAAGTGTAACACAGTGGCCGCTTTTTAAAAAAATAACTAATAGATAATTAATTAATTTGTTATTATTAATTTATTTATTAATAAATACCTACATATATTTTTTTTTGAATAAAGTGTTTTTCAGTCGCGGAAACAAAAATAATCATTGAATAAATCTAACCTTGAGCCATTTTCTCACTAAACCACAATTACACTGACGAAATAAAAAAAACAATTTCAAACTTTGTCAAATAAAAAGAATGAATAGTGTTCAATAATGCAGCAAATGCGCTAAAATAAAATTTGTGTGTCTAAATATAAGCTCACAGGATATTTTTTAATAGTAAGACTGCTCGTATCTTTAATATAATAAACTCATTTACTGCGTCATACCCTAACTGCGAAAATAGTAATTAAAATTAAATTAGCTCCTTATACAACTTTTATGTGAATGTCATTTTCTTATATCACAATAATTTTAAACTTTGTTTTTACACATCGAAATTTTGAAATTTGAATTGAGGCTTTGAAACTAAGAAACGTCCTTGACTGCATATTTAGGATCATAAAAGTAAGAATTATGCTCAATTTCATTGCTTTCTCCTATTTGTGACAGGAAATATGTATTTCGTGATCCCTCGGGTACGAAAAAAGTAGTCTCCTATTTCCGTCTGTTTGTCTGTCTGTCTGTATGGTGTCTGCATCCATTTTTATTAGACACGTAATCTCCGAAACTGCTTGTTGTCAACTTTTGATGTATATTAGAAATATCATGTAGATGGTTAAATGCTAACCAAAATATGGCTAATCACCCCACCAACAATTTCATGTCGTCATTTCAGAGAATTCTATGTTTATTTGATTTAACTGTTATACAATAAGTCTGGTGTACGAATCCGCTTTGAGTTTTTTCCCTAATAAATTTTTGCAAAAACATAGTGAACGTATAATAACAGTTTACCATTAACGTAAGGCAACCCGGTGGTGGTCGATTCCGAACTTGGCCTATCGTTTTTTTTTTTTTCTCGCATTATGTATCGGGTGATCAAAAAGTTCTTAGATTAGGGTTGGCCATGGAAATATTTATCATGACTTTATTAATCATGCATAACCTCATTTGTATTTCAGTAATTTGGATTTTTGACATTTCCATTTTAATCAAAGATATGACAAATATTTCCATGGCCAACTCTAATCTAAAAACTTTTTGATTACCCGTTATTATCTATGTTTATGACGTCATAACAAATTTTTTATTGATGAGATTACCCCATTCTCTCGAAAAGGTGAGAATACGCTCCTCTTTATTTAAAAATGTAAAACCTTCTCCGAAGCGCCAAATGTATTTTTTTAAGAATGTGAAACCTTCTCGGAGATCCCAACTGTCATTTTTAAAAATGTAAAACTTTCTTGGGGGCCCCAAATGCTTTTTTAAGAATGTGAAACCTTCTCGGGGTCCCAACTGTCTTTTTTAAAAATATGAAACCTTCTCGGGGGCCCCAAATGTCTTTTTTATGTGAAACCTTAGGGGTCTTAACTGTCTTTTTTAATAACGTAAAACCTTCTCGAGGGCGCCAAATTTCTTTTTTTTTAATGTGGAACCTTCTCGGGGGTCCCAACTGTCTTTTTTAAAAATGTAAAACCTTCTTGGGGACGCCAAATTTCTTTTTTTTAATGTAAAACCTTCTCGGGGGCCCCAATTTTCTTTTTTAGAAATGTAAAAACACCTTGGGGGTCCCACCTGTCTTTCTTAAAAATGTAAAACCTTCTCGGGGGTCCCAACTATCTTTTTTAAAAATGTAAAACCTTCTTGGGGGCCCAAATCTCTTTCTTTTTCAAAATGCGAAACCTCGGGGGTCCCAATTGTCCTGTTTTAAAGAAGGCGAAACCTATCTCTCTGTTACACTGTGACTAGTACCTTCTAGATTATTTTTAGTCCATAGAGGTTAGCACGAAAAAGTAAAATTCCGCAAAATCAAATTTTATAATTTTTCAGAGAAGCAGTGTTTGTTGGATTGTACCTCAGAAGCGAGGGAAGTTCTGTCGAAATAATTTTCGACCAATTTTTTTATTACTTTGAGTGTAACCTTTTATTCGTATAAGGTGAAACGGTAATTTTTCAGAAATGTATAAATATAAAGAAAATGAGAAAATGTGAACAAGTAATCCGTCACTCTCTTTCCAATATCGGAGTAAATTTCTCCATTAAAACTCAACTGATTTTTGCACTTTGATCCACACTATTTTTTTACGGAAAAACGGAAAATTTGTTGCCATTTTGGACGTTTTTTGTTTAATGATTTTTGTTGGTCAGGTTTCTTTAGGTTAAAATATACCGGGTGTGGCAATAATTAGTTGAACAAATAGAAATTTGAAATTTCTGTTTCTTTAAATATGTAATTGAAATATTAAGCGGAATAGGTAAATTGAGACACCCAGTATGTACTGTCCATAAGTACTTATTAATATCTTTGTTATTGATAAGATAACTCAATAAACAGTGAGATCAATAAAGCCCGGAAAATATATTTCCAGACATTCAAATATTTGCTTGCATGATTACACATTGTTGAATTAATTTCATAAAAATTCTATGTATTTCGCCAACTAGGTTGGCATCTTCACTAACCGAAAGGAAGGAGCAACAAATGTCTGTTGTTTCGCGACTACAAACCAAAATCTGAAATTATTTATTCGTGTGTGAATTTACATTGAACCCCCTCGGTTCTGGAGTATCGTGTTCAAAAGTAAAAAAGAAACAATATTTTTGCCATTTGATATTAATTATAAATCATAAATAATTTTTGAAATTACCTGTAACTTTAACAATAAAATCAGCACCATACAATTTTGCTGTTCGTTGGGTGTCAAGGTGAATGTAATGTAGGTGGCCCGATTTTTTCTGCAAAATTCATCATTGTCATTCAAATTATGTCGTAAATTTGTCGGGAAAATGCCACACTTGTTATGTTACATATCAAAATCTGACACATTTTGCAGATCGACAGTGGAGATGGCTTACCCTCATCAGTTTGCCTACAATGTGTTCACCAAATCAGCAACGCCTATTCTTTCAAGCAGCTGTGCGAACAATCCGATAGCAATCTCCGTCAGTACCTCGGTTTGCCCCCTAGCATGAAGCACAGAAAAGAAGAAGAAACACCACATGCAGCTGACTTCGCAACTACTTTACTCCTAGACAATTTCGGACTGGATTCTTCGTCAGGGGACAGCGACGAGGACGACTACAAAATTGACTACAGTTTGCTACAAACGACACTAAGTGAAAACGTTAACGATGAAAAAGCCATCGCTCAAAGGCAACTTCTTAAAGCGGCGAAATCCCAGAAAAATAAACTATCAAAAAAGAAGTTGCTTGCCAAGGCTGGAGGGAAAGCCGCAGGTGAATATTTCCACGAAAACTTCTTCGTTTTGACTTTTCTCTAACACAACGTTTTCAGTTTTAGCAGCTAAAAAACTAAAAAGGAACACCAACCAATGCAACGTATGCAAAAAGCAATTCATCAACATGAAATCATTCAGGAAGCATTTACGAACGCACATTGAAGACCGTCCATACAAGTGTAAGTTATGTCCCAGGGGATTCACCGAAGAAAATTACTTGAACAACCACATGCGAACTCACGTGCCTGAAGATCAAAAGCCTCACGAGTGTAAAATTTGTAAAAAGCGCTTCATTCACACGACTTTGCTGAACAAACATATGCTGAAGCATAGCGGGGAAAAACCCTTCGTCTGTAAAATATGCAATAAAGGATGTTACGCCGAAAATAGTCTGCTCAAACATATGAAAATACACGAAAAGAAGGAAGGAGATCCTGCGTTACTAAAGCACATTTGTGATTATTGCAAAACTGAGTTTCCAGACGCTACAACTTTGTCGGTGCATATAAAACAGCATACGGGAGATAGGCCGTTTGTTTGTAATATTTGTGGCAAGTGCTTCCCGCAGAGATTTAATTTAGAGTTGCATCTCAGAACGCATACGGGAGAACGTCCGTTCCAGTGTGAAGTTTGCAAAAATGGTTATGTCTCTAAGGCCAGTTTGAAAATTCACATGCGCACTCATACGAATGAACGTCCGTTTGTTTGTGATTTTTGCGGCAAGGCCTTCCGGCAGTCGGGAGATCTCACCAGTCATAAGCGGCTTCACGGAACCGAAAAACCGATCGAGTGTCAAGTTTGTCAAAAAAGGTAAGGAAATTTGGTAATTTATTTGCGATTTCATTTGGGGGCTCTAATTGCTCTGGACGCGTCAGTGACGCTTCATTTACGTCACGAAGTCAACATTAGAATATTATGTTAGTTGGCTTCAATGTATTTGATTAATTGTTTATATTTTACATGTTCGCAGTTCAATAAAAACAACTTATTAATTTTAACGAATTATTTTGACATTGACTTCGGTAGTAGAAAAATTTAATGAATAAAACTATGCATGCTGGGAGATTTATAGATCTCGTCATTCGTCTCAGCGGGTAAATATTGATGAGGTTTTGCAGGTTTACGACCGTAATGAAATTGAAATATCACATGAGGAACCACACAGGTGAAAGGCCCTATGTGTGTACTGTGTGTGGAAGAGGGTTTACTGTCAACACAATTTTGCTCAGGCATATGAGAGTACATTCTGGAGAGAGGCCATATGTTTGCGTCACGTGCGGAAAAGCGTTTTCACAATCAAGTACTTTGAATACACATATGAAGGTAAGTGCAACTTGTTTAGAATACTTGGTTTGTACAGTATATTTTAGAAGTCACATAATGGCAAATTCAACACTACTGGGCAGTGATGTCTTTACCTTTTATTTCGCTAAAACTACAAGTAATTTAATGTTTCTGAATTAGAATTCACAATATTGAAGCAAAATAAAAAATATTTGTGTTTAGTTTTTTCATGTCACATAAATACAGAGTTTATTAGACGAAAAATTCATGTTTATTGAAGTTTCATAGCTCCTAGAATATGAAAGAGTGGGTCCATGTTTCCGTCTGTCCATCATCTGGCGACGATGTTACTAGACAAATACAGCACTGATTGGTGTGAAATTTTGTATGTATTTTAAGGATATCGTGTAGATGTTAAAACGCAAACCAAAAATTTTATAACGTCATTTCAAGATTTTACAAAGTGTTAAAATATGCAAAATAATTCCAATTTATTAATCCGCCCTTATTTTTGACGTTATGAAATTTTGCATACGCTTTAAAGTTATCATGAGCAGTGTAAATCATTATTCAGAAAAAATATATATTCATTCCTTCTAAAAACGTGATGACGTCATCCGAAAATCAGTAATCTCGCTTTAAATTAAGGGTGTAATATGTTCAGTTATTGTAGTTTAATAGTGTATTCATAGTTTTTAGAATTGTTTGTACAGGATGTCATAAAAAATTAGTGAATGAAGTAATTTCTGTTATATTAAATCAAAAACGGTTTGTTCATTTTCCCGAAATTCTAAGTACTGTTATTAATAGTGTCAGATTTAAAGTTATCCGGTCTGTGGTTTCAAAGAATAATCGCCAATAGGCAGAAAGACCGACAAAAACACAAATATTCGTTAAAACACACACACACTTTTTCACAGTGTAAAAAACATGAGGTAAAGATAGGATCCGCACCCACAAGTCCGACAATCCGTCAAGAAAAATTTGTGTAAAGTAATTGTGCTAAAAATCAAAGCAGATCTATAAACCACGAGTACAGGAGTAAATATATTATTTTTTACCCCGCAAAATGATGAGGGGACGCCATCAAATTGTTGGGAATGATTAGATAAATTTTGGTTAGTGCTCTACCATCTATCTGCACGATATTCCTGACATACATACAAAATTAGACAACAATCGGTTCAGTAGTTTCGGAGATTATGTCTACAATAAAAATCGACACAGACCTATTTTTTTTGTACTCTACGAGTCATGAAACGTCGAGAAAAGGTGAAAGTTATTATTCGCCGATTAGACCATATTACAATACTTCCTTAGCTGACGCTCTGGAAATAAAATTATTGATAATTCAATAAACGCCATTTTAAATCTTAACGTCCTTTCTGTCTATAGTTGTTCCAGGAGTATTATTTATTACAAAGCTATGTTGCCACATATATTTTTAGAAATTGCGACGTTGGTGGATTTTGGAAACAATTGTAATTTATTATCCATTCACGTTTTTTTTTCGACGTAGATTTGGCCATAAAAATCTAGTAAATTTGTTGGTAGTCGTTACGGAATAAAAGTGTGAACTGTTAAAGCACAGGTAAAGATACGGACAAAATTAAATTTATTTAAAGCAGAGACCAACGGGATAACATGTATTATCATTATATGCTTAACTTAGAGGGTTTATATTTATACATTGAAAGAATTTGACGATTAAGCAAGTATAAAATTCGCGGTGGCAGAAAATCAAGCTCAAGGCCAAGTTTATATTGTTTACGGTGAGTTTTTCCACTGGAGAATCTTCCCAGCAACATTTTGGCAAGGACACTTCAGTTAATTCAGTGCTGCATTCTCAAATTGAGGAGAAAATTGGATGTATCGTTCTTGATTTGATCAATAAAAAAAAGTGGAAACGCTGCCGGAAATCGAATCCGGGGCTTATGTAGCTACGTATTATGTGACTAAAGGACAAGAAGACAATAAAAATAAAATATTCACAAAGGTTGTGAATTATCAGTATCAATGTTTTTACAGTTGTTTTGACTGTACTAGCTTTCAGATAATTTTTGTCGTACTACACTGTGCACTAAATTTACTGTGAGAGCAATAAAAAACACGATCAAAGGACAGCCATATATTTTTTAAATCAAAGACAAACTTTCAAAAATCCATGGCTCCCTTTGATCATGTTTTGTCTTGCGTTGTTATTAATTATTCTGATAAAAGCACCTTTGAGGTTATTTTTATTCTATCCGTCATTTAAATCCAGTTTTTAAATTTCTACAAAAACTGTGTTTACAACTCAAAAGTCAAATTAAAAATCTTACCGCCTGTCAAGGGTTGTCAATAACTATCATTAAATTGCTGACACTATAGATTTTTTTTCCACCAGTGATGCCAACGTAATGACACTGATAATTCACAATCTTAATGTATAAACTTTACATGTTAGGAACATCTATACAATATTGTTTTAAATAAACATCATCATCACTTTAGAGGACCAAAAGAATTCTGTTATGGCATATTTTACAAACATTTTTCCAGAGGATTACTGAAAGGGTAGTGGTGAAATTTATTACATCTCTGAAGCAATAAATTTTGAATTATCTCTTTGACATCTTCCAGAAACATATATATGAAAAATACCTTCAGCTAACTACACCAGCTCATGTATATTTGTCCAGGGGTGGGATTTTGTTTCTCGAGCGAAGTGATAAATTATCACTTGCGATAAATGTCATTGCGTAGCTTTTAAATGCAAAGTTTGCATTTATTCTTTGCATATAAGCTTGTTAAATACTCAAAAGTTTACAATTACCTTAATTTTAAGAACTTATAACTCAGAATTACGATTTTGAACTTCTATTTTGACATAAATTTCGAGGTAATGTCTCCAAAATTTATCACTTCATTCAGAGCTATCGAGAAAATATCACTCCATGAAGACTTGATTTCGTGACAGAATCGAAAAGTGTGACAGAAATGTCTCACCAACTCAGCCTCTCAACCAATCAGCAAACGAGATTTTATCGCTATCGAGTTTTTTTCGATCGAGAAATAACAATCGCACCCCGTATAGTTAAAATTAAATGAGATGACTACATAGGAGCGCGCGCACTCAAATTTGTTTGAAATTTTACAATTTTTCAACGTCGCTATATAACAGTGATCTCCGGTTGTTAACAAGAAATCAGTTTGTCATTATAGTTCGGTTTTTGATTAGTGAATAGATATTGTTGGTATTAATTTCTTAAAAAATATGTTTGATTAAAAGGTTTACATACATTTCTTTACTGGACCCAGATAAGTTAAAGTCAAATTACTGAGTTACCTGTTTTGGAAAAGAGGAGATTAACAGTAAATAAAACTTGTAAGCTTATAATAATTAAGCCTTTCCGACTATTGCATCAATAATGAACTTTTCATTTAAAATTTTTACAAACAACCACTGTATTTTTGCGATAAATTGCAGCACTGGTGGATCTTGACCAAAAACATCAAAATTTTTGTACACAGCACTAAGTTTTATTATTGTCGTATTAGGTCCATGCACCTTCACCCAAGTACAACAACCAAGAATCTCAACAGCGAATGCCGAAATTTCACAACACAAACGAACAAAAATTCCAACAAACCCAGCATCAACCGCAACAGCAGCAACCACCCCCTGACCACACCAGCCGCCTAATGCAAACGGATAACCGCATGATGCAACCAGAACCACAACGCATGATGCCCCAAGACAACACTCGCATGATTTCCAGCGATGGTTCGCGAATAATCACCGACAATTCCCATCTGTTGACAGATAATAGAGGTTTGATAAATGACAATACGCGTTTATTAACCAATGACGGTGCCAGATTGTTGGTTAATATGACTGAACCTCCTAGGCTACTTGTTCACGATAATTCTAGACTGGTGACGAATGATAATCGGTTACTAACTAACGATGGAAGGCTACTAACGAATGTTAACGATAACTCGAGGCTTTTAACTAACGATAACGCGAGACATTTAGCTGTTATAGAAAGTTCTAGGATTTTAGCTGATAAGTATTTAGCTAGTTACGAGCCATATCACCGAGCTCATTTGTAAGAATTGACGTCAGTTTAGAAGTTAGCTGATTTCTGGTCAACATTTATGTGGTACTTTGTGTTTGCTGAAACTTACATCCAATTAATTTTGCTTTTAACTTGCCCACAAGTTTAAATGGTACAGAAAAGTGAAAATTTAGGTGCATAGCATTTTCTTAACGTATATGTATATAAGAAATTTTACTGCAACAGTTTTTTTGCATTAATTTATGTAATTATTTATGTAAGACAGATTTTTTAATTTTGGGTATAAAATTAAAATTTTATTTCCATACTAGAACTCCGGAACTTGAAGGTCTATTTGTTAATACGTACATTGAAAGGACCAAAAATGTTTTTACAATATGTTTAATTGTCTCACTTTTGTCCGTCTATTTGTTTTCAACGTAAAAAACCATTAAAGAAAACTAATAAAATTTTAAAAATTTACTGGTTTTAACAATAAAACAACATCTTTTAAAGGTAAAGAAAATCTAAAATATAAGTTAGTTTATTTATTTTTGGAGTGATTGAATACAGCTGGCTGGTTCTTTTTAAAGTATGACTTCTTTTAATTTCTAAAAGATTTTTACTACATATCTGCTGCATATAAATAGTTTTTGCGTTGTCGTTGCTTATGTGTAGCAGTCGCCGATTCGTCAATAATAAATAATAAATCAAAACTTCAAAAAATAGGAATCTTATACTAATAAAGGTGCTATATGGGTGTTTAAACTTCAAATAGTACAAATTATTTTCATGATAAAAAACTGTAAAATAGACATCCTTGGCGCACTACTTTAATAAGTCACAGCTACATGGTGTCGTGTTTATTAGTACATACTATTTTTTTTTCTTCACTGTTATATACAGGTCCGATCACTTACGGCACGTTACTTTTTTAACACTGGGGTGAGGTACCAAAGTCTGTTATAAACAAGACATTTCAAAGAATTTGTCTTGTTATTAAAAAATTAAATTGTTAAGTATTTAAATTAGCAGCATGAAAAAAGTCTCAACAATAAATCGTGTGGAATTCTTGACTTTTTTTTTATTATACTGACTTTTTTTTTATTATACTGACACTACAAATGTCAAATTGACAGCTAACTTCAATGGAGAAAAACAATAGTAGTGCCATCATAGTTTTTTAAAAAATTAATTCCATGACTAGACTAGTTTTCTTTTTTCTCGATCAAGATCAATTAAAAATATAAAAAAAAAATGGAAAATTTTAAAGACATTTAAGTGACAATTAGGAATGACAAATAAATATGAAAGAAAGAGTGATATATTGACTTTAAAAATGTTTATTGTAAAAATTAGATTTAGTGTCAATAAGCCGAGATGCCTCACTTAAAAAGTGACGAATTTCCTGCGAACCATAAGTGAAAGGACATTGTATTATTAGTAAAAAGGGTGCTTTATTTTTACTGAAATAGTTATTTATGAAATTTCAAAACTACTGTGATCTTTATTTTGTCGAGACAGGGTGACCATTTAGATGTGAATGTGGAAGCTGCACACAGTTGCCATCTGCCATTAAAATAAATAAAATATAAAAACGTTGCAAATGTTTCTAATAGTTTTGTAACTTGCGAAGTTAACAAAATCCAGACTCTAAAATGTTTGCAAATAACGAAAAAATTGTTAGAAATGTCAAACTTGCCATTGTAACGTTCTGAGTAATTTTAGATGATCAATAATGGTGTTTCATTTTTGTGGATTGTCTTTTAAATGATCACTCTGTAGCAAAATCTTCATTTAAATTTTCTATCATCTTTTAATGACGAGTGTCGTTGGTACTTTAATTTACACACATCAAAGTCCACACTAATTTCTTTCCAACCAATAGTTCAACAAAGATATGTATTGTATTTCTCACTCACAGTAAACTGGTGGTTCTGTATAAGTGGTATATCACAAACAAGGATATACCACTGAATCATTGAATATGTACCTCACAAATAAAATCCACTATAACTATGATTACATGCACGAGGCTGTAATAGTTTCCGCAATGTACAAACATTTTCTAGAAACTGTAAAGGACATTTCATACCTCAATGTGACAACTTAGATTTCAAAAATCCATATGTAAAGTCGCGATCTTTTCTATAGAACCACTCCCTAGTGTAAATTTTCAAAATTTGTTTGGTGTAAGTGACCTTGACGGGTTTCTGGGGGAAAACATATGTGTCAAAAATTTGACAGGTTAGATGGCCCCATTGTCAATGTAGATATTTTATTTTAATAAATAGATGAACAGAACATACAGTCTGCACGGGATACAGTGCGGCATAGCTGAGGGCAACCGAAACATTCGTGTTGTGCTAGTTTCGATTGCCATGTCAACTACCGCTACCAACCGCGTTCGGCGTAAAGTACTAGATGACAGGGCTGCCAACTTGACTTTTTATCGAGTGGTTCCGTAGAAATGACCGCTACTGTATATAACAAACCAATTTTTTTAAGTATTGTCATGTCTTGCGTAAGTATAAGCAAATCATTACATATAATGCTTTTAAAATTTGATCTGTTAAATAACAAAAATTTGAAATTTAATTTGCGACTAGACTTCCAATGTTTTCAATGGCACCTTAAATATTTTTTTAGTTACTTTTTGTATGAAATCAGCAAATAGGTCTACAGGTTAGTGTGTATTCAAAGAAATGATAATCAGTGTATATATTATCTACTACATTTATTTAGCCATCATGTAACTGCATCTGAGATTTTGTTTGTGTCTTCTGAAACTTAGTGCTACAATAAACATAACCTATGTAATAACATAGTGTAAGTTTCTAAATTTATTCAAATAAAATTTTTGTATACAACGAGTTTTTTACTGTAGCTTTGAAGTCTTTCCACGACGTACATAACACTGTCTTGTTGCAAATAATAATTTTTTTAAAAGTCTGAAACTTTTCCCTTGCGCTCCCAGTCGCCATACCTGGTTGGTTCAGGTCCTATTGGTCCACCTACCTCTCCAGTCTCGGGATTTGTATTGTCGGGAAAGGGCTTCAAAGGTTCCTTTTCTTGAAATGGGTGTTCTGACAACTCTTCCAGCTTATCAATGGTAGCTGTTTCTCGCAATTTTTTTTTGAATTCTTGCATTCTAGGACTAAGTGGTTTTGATTCTTTGACAGGTGAATATTTGATAAACACTGCTACAACATATTTGTAAATTTTATGTTATTTATATTATTATTCGTTGTTATATTACCATTCACTGATAGCTGTCTTGTAATGTTATAAAATTGTGGAACTTGGCTAAAACCGTGAATAATCTTCAAAAAACTCATTTTTGACTGATGATTGCAAGTATTTTTTATGGAGGCAGAAAATTTACTTGTCAATGTAAATGCAAAAACTAATTTGATTATTGATATATTCTGAAATTCATAGGAAACCAATAAATAAACCTTAATTTTTGTTATTATAACCTACAAATTACTTGACAACTGTCATGTGACTGATCTGTCAAAAAAGAAGGTTAAGTTCATCAAATCGAAAAACTTTGTGTTTTTACTATTATACTCATTTATTGTGATTAGGTTTTATTTAAAAGAACTCTTAAAATATTTGCCAAATGTTGCCAAAAATATATAGAAGTGACCCAGACATTAGGAGACATCAAATAAATACGCTCAAGATTTTTAACGATAAGTGAGTAATAAGATTTCCACACCATAAAGTCGTTGATTAACTATTGATAAATTAATAGTGTTGTAGAAATTTGTGAAGGTCATGAATATCAAATTGCTTTCAAATCTGGTAGAAATGAGCTTTGTTTACACATTTCACTTAGTAAAGAATTCCCCAACGAGAAACCGTTGTTGACGATATCGCCTGGTATTGGACACCAATGGGTTAACAGTGATAGTGAAATTACTGCAGCCCCTGGACTTTTGAATGTATGTGTACCCGTGAATGTGGAACCAGTTGTGAGTTTGTGTTATTTTAGTTCACAATACATTCCGACTTGGGTCGTGTTGTCCAAGCAATAATTAGAGAGTTTGAAAGAAACCCGCCTCCTTTGAAAAACGACGGTTCCTCCACTAGTGTGACCCCTGGCAGCAACATCACTTCACCTACTGTACCGATTAGAGGTAATTTAAGATGCTTGTTTAATAAATTAATTAAATAGTTTATTCCAGACAGTGAAAGATCTAATTTAAATTACAGTATAATTAATAGTTTTTCATCACCCACTCATTTATCAAATAGTCAAAAGAGATTAGTTTTTCCTGAATTAAATAATTTGTCACTTGAAGAACTAGAATTTTTAAATAGTAACAGTGACCGACAGGAGGAATTTTTAAATGAAATTCCAGCAATCAAAGAACAGAATAAATATCTGGATGAACTGATTGTCCAAGTGGAGGAGTTAGCAGGTAAAGAAATCAGATTCATACTATTTTCATTGATTTTTTTATTTTGTAGAAACAAATTTGTCAAAACAAGTGGAACTAGTTGAATTGAAGGCAAACATTGATAAAAGAATAGAAGAAGTAACAAAACTAGCATTTGAAAACGAGAGACTGCATGTAAAATATCAGAATTTATCAGATAAATATTCTCCTGTGAACATAAAGGTATAATACACTAGCAATTGTACTATAAAGTTTAATAATTTGTTTCAGGATCAACTGCGATCTGGTGCTGAAAAAGCTGAACAAGAATGTGAAAATATAGCAGATTCATTCCTAAAAGGTGATATTGATGTGGATAGATTTGTTACCCTGTATACAAAAACAAGAAGTTTGTGCCAGACACGAAAAACTAAAGAAGAAAAGCTGTCGCATCAGTTGGACAGTTTATTAAAAGCTGGTTTTTAATTATACATTGTGCAATGTTCTTATTTATTTTATTACTTAATAAAAATATAAACTTTGGACACATTTTATATGTACCTAGATCTACTTAAAGTGCTCTAAAAATATAGTGATTTATAAATAGTTTCCTCTTCTACTAAAAAAATTAATGTTAAAAATCAGCGTCCAAAACATATTCGTCGCTGTCATTTACTGCAGCTACACTCTTCTGAAATTCCACTTTTCTTTCCACAAAATTATTTTTGTCTTCATTTGAAATAACTCCAATGAAATCAAATGGATTTTTCACACCATATATTTTCTCAGTTCCCAGTGCCTCAAGCAACCAGTCGGCAACAAACTCAATATACTGAGACATTAACTGACAACTCATACCCACCAAGGTAACTGGTAAACTCACTGTTAAAAATTCTTTCTCAATTTTTACTGCCTCTTGAATAATACTTTGGATTCGTTGTTTTGATGGCTTTTGTACTAAATGTGACAATATTAAACACGCGAAATCACAATGTAGCCGTTCGTCCCGCGAAATTAACTCATTAGATGAAGTAAGACCAGACAATACATTTCGCCTCTTCAACCAGAAAATGACCGCAGAGCTCCCTGCAAAAAATATTCCCTCGATTGCAGCAAAAGCCACCAATCTTTCCCCAAAGCTAGCTTTCTGATTGTGTCTCCATCCCAGTGCCCAATCAGCTTTCTTTTTAATACATGGTATCGTCTCAAGTGCATTGAATAAAAATTCGCGCTCTTGCAGATCAGCAATGTATGTTTCAATCAACATACTGTACATTTCTGAGTGAATATTTTCGTTGGAGATCTGATATCCATAAAAACAACGTGCTTCCGTTACCTGGACTTCCTGGGTGAATTTTTCCATTAGGTTTTCACAGATAATTCCACCTGCTACTGCAAAGTAGCCCAGTATATGAGAGATGAAGTAACGTTCATCGTCTGAAAGTTTGTTTTTCCAATCTTCCGCGTCCGTGGATAAATTAACATCTTCAACAGTCCAGAATAAAGCTTCACAGTGCTTGTATTTGTCCCAAATATCGGGATACTCAATGGGAAAAATTACGAAACGGGTGGGGTTTTCTTGAAGCAAGGGTTCCAGTTCTGGGTCAAATTCTTCTTCAGCGTTCTGTGTTTTAGCAACTATTGAGTCTTCTGTGTCTTTAATAAGGTTGGATTTGTTGTCGGTGAGAATGTTTTGGTTTTTTTCGCCGATTAAGGTTAGTATATCTTCTTTATTAAAACGGGGCATCTTAAAGCTGAGAAACAAAAATATTTTCAATTTATTTCAACAAGAACTAAATTAAACTTACCTTTCTCTGAAATACAGCCTTTATAAACCAAGATTTGTTCACAAACGTAAAACCAGCACTTCTAACGTAACCTTAGGTAATTAACTGCAAAAAGGCGCCAAAACATAAACCCTTTTGTAGCGGGTCATTAGAAAATTGTAAATAGAAATTTTAGCGGGAAGATTCCTTATTGGGCAGAATTTGCTGGAGGGGAAGCCAAACTAAATAAATCAGTCGTTCAGTAGCGCACATAACACCTTATACATCACAAAAGTGTTAATTACGCTATAGAAAAAAACATGAAAAATGCTCAGACAATTATAGAACACTAAACAATTAGTAAATTGATGATAGTTCTTTTCAAATATTGTAATTACAGGTGTTTTTGTTGTTTTACTTTTAAATAGCGTGACGCCACTGAGTATCGTTTCCTGTTCAGTGGACTGGAATTCCTCAGTGGGAGATAATTGTGTAGGCGGGTAAATTCAGCGAATTTCATTGGTTAGTTTTGAAGAACCCAGGGGCGTATTGAATGTTTTTGTACAAAATTTTATCCCTGAAGAATTACAAGCGGAAAATTTTGTGCAAGTTACGTCATGTTTACTCACAGAATGTACTTATAATATTGGCAGTTGAAAAACCAATTACTGGCACCAACTGAGCATTTTTTAAATGTCTTTACTTAGTATAGTCAGTCAGATACTACAAGGTTATATGGCTGCTGTAAAATGAAGGTATTGTGAAGACGGCAATGGCGCAGTTAATAAGGCAAACCCACAGTTGTAAATTGTGTTTGTGTTGGTTTGTGTACCAAAAATGTTTAAGCGAATTACTCAGCAGTAGATAAGGAGACAAATCCTTGATTTATGACGCTAGAGATCCCATTCTTAAGTTTAGTGGGGCCATATTATCTTGTATTATCTGACCGACTATACATACTAATGGCGAGAATTTATTACTCCTAATATTTAAATTCTACGTAGTTTATAACGTCATGTGCTTGGAAAGAAAACACAATACCCACACTGTAGAATTTTTTGTGTGCGGTGTAGATGATTTTGATTATACCAATAATAAGTTCTATGGATGATGGGGTGTTACAAAAATATATGCCAAAGTTCAACAAAACTTTTATTTCTTTTGAAAAAAAAAGACATAGATCTCACATACCTAATAACTTTCATACTGTTTATATCTGTTGTGAGAACGGAAAACCACGGAAGCAATGTCTTTCTGATACTGCCAAAGTGTAAACTAAACCTAAAAGTTCTAAAACGCGAATTAAATAACTAACACGGTAATAAAATATTCACAATAGTAGCATTTACAAAAGTATATCCGCAATCAATATGACCACATTTAAAATCTCCCCCTTGAGGAAGATTGTCCTCTACTGGAAGTACCCCCTCCTCTTCCACTTCCCCTCTGATTACCGCGCGACCTAGACGACCCCCTGTTGCTCCTCGAATTCCTCTGACCCCTCCCCCCTCCCCGTTTAGCCCCCCTCGTTCTGAAATTATCGTTGCTGTGCCCGTTCCACCCCTCATTCTGACCCCCAAATTGGTCTCTGTTGAAGCTTCCTCCCTGATTCCTAAAGTTCGGGTGGTTTCCGCCAAAGCTCTGGTTCCTTCCCCCGAACTGCCCCCCATAATTTCCGTTGCCCCGCTGCCAGTTGTCCCTCGATTCGTCGTAGTATTCGTCGTAATTGTCCTCATCATCGTAGTGACGAAAGTCCGGATCTCGGTTGAACGGCGGTCGGAAATCTTCGTCCCCCATGTCGTTCCGCATGTCATAGTCGCGTGGGGGTGGCTGGAAGTTGAGCTCGCGGTTGACGCTGTTTCTGTAGTCGGTGTCCATGTTTCTCATGTCGCTGTCTCGCCCGAAGTTGGAGAAAGGCCGCATGTCTTGGTCTATGTTGCGCATGTCCGAATCACCGGCTCGTAAGTGGTCCAGGTCTTGACCGTGGGCGGCTCCTTGAGGCAGCTTAGTTTGCATGTGATTAGGAATGTTGACGCCACCTGGAGACCCTTCGTTGCTATCGTAGTCGTTAAGATAATCTTGGTCGTCGTCGTTGATTGGCATCACGTCGTGGAGTTCTTCGATTTCGCCCGAATCTATGTACTTTTGGAGGGCTTCGGGGCCTTCCGCTATGACGGATTCTAGTTTTGAACCAGCTGTAATGAGAAAAAAATCGGTTTAGAAACCTCAAGAATTAAAATCAGCGAAATAAAATAAAATTCTGTTACATATTTTCGGCTTAAAGCTTTGAAACTCCGCTTTGTGTTCAATTTTTTGGGGTAATCATGGTATATAATTTTTTGGAAATGATCCCATGACATTCGGGTGATAAGAGCAACAATAGTTCATTATACTTTTATTCTCTCCTCTTTTTTTTTCTTGTTAAATACTGTGTATTGTTAACCTCAAAGAACTAGTGATAAAATTTTTGATAGCGTACTTTTGACATTATTATCCCTGGGTGGTGCCTACAGAGAGTTTACCTTCTCATATTTATTAAGAATGAATGCATAAAACGCCACAAATATAACAAAACTACTACATGGTGATTATTTGCTGTATCGACAGAATTGTGGTAAGAATTATCAGTTATCACTAGAGAGCGAATTTCTGTCGGGCTACGTCACGATTATAGGTGGGGACGCGTGAATCGCCGGCACTCAGTAGCGGGTGATAATCACTGAATTTAATCGTCACCTATTCCATAAATACAATTAACGAAAACTTAATTAGTAAAACGGTTAAGTAAAGGAGAATGGGAAAAAAACGCTGTCTAGTTATCACAATGCTTATGTGAGTGAGGTAAGCGGACTAAAATAAACTTTTTAAAATTATGCTAAATTTATTTATGGAGTTTTCGACTACGTGAATAAATAGTTCGATTGCTTAAAAAAAGAATAAGTTTTGGAATTAATTAACAAATCTTTTGCACGAAGTACAAAAGTTTTAAATCTACATATTTCGAGTAATACACGGGTGTTTCTCAATGTTCAATTTTATTAGGTCCTTTGTTGTTTTCTACCTACATAAATGATCTTACTGTGGGTCTGGATGTGAATCATGGTTGTGTTGTGAATGATTTATTATATACCGATGATTTAAACATTTTTTGTTGAATCACCTGGCTAGAAAACTGCATTGAATTACACGTAATCTTGCAGTAATTTAAATTTCAGCTACATAATTCGTCAATTGATTCTCTGTATTATTGTTAAATTTTATATGTTTATTAGGAACATCATGAAGATGGTTAAACGCTAACCAAAATTTGGCTAATCATACCCACCAACAATGGGTTGATGTTTTCTCCAACATTTACAATAATAATAATAATAGAATTTATTTATCCAACAGACACAAGTCCAATAAAAGGATACATGTAATAATAACAGAACAAAACAGGAAAGTAATAATAGTAAATATTACTTAAATTTTATAGAAGAAGATACTTCTCCACTTGTGGTTTATGAATACGTGTTGAATTTCTACCCTTGACGTCCAGATTTTTGGAAAAAAAATCTAACTTGTATAACAATATTTTAAGGTTATAGTAAGCATGGTAAATCCTTAAACAAAATTTATTCGTTATCACCTCCCAGAAAATTGATGACGTTATATCAAAATTTACTTTATAGGTGTGGTTTATCAATACACTCATACTTTTTAGAATTACTTATCCAGGTGACTCAATTTAATCAATTAATCTATTTCATTGATTAAATCAAGAACGACTCATTCCATTTTTCCGAAATTTTGGGAATACCATACTGTTATTATTAGGATTGCACTACATCTATCCAAATTGACATCGGTGTATTTGTAAAAATCTTGATCACGTCATCATAAAATTTTGTAATTGAAAAACTCACTTGAAACATACGCGTAGCGCGCCTCTTTTTTGGGTTTACTCATCAGGTTCGCCAGATTTTGTGTCATTTATTATAAAAAAATATCAAGTACCATCATGAACAAAATGAGTCATTAGTACGGAAATATTTTATCTACAATAAACAATTAAATGTAATCTTATAAATGAAGACGCCAATGCTGGTGATTGTTTTATTAAATCTATTACGAACAAATTAAAATCAAATCCTGCAAAACTGGAAGTAATCGATGGTTTAAAGTCGAAGCTTGAAAAAAGATCCAGGACATCTAATTTCAGACAATGTGCCAGAAATAAACAACAAAACCAATTTAAATATTCTTATCAACGAAACTGATTCATCAACATTGGAAGAATTAATAAAAAATAAATAAATAAACTTGTGTCAAAAATTGTACTCAAATGCTATTTCTGTATACATAAAATGATGTTGATAAAAAAAAGGCTATCCGTATCAGATTCAGACTTGTTGATAGTAATAATTTTGTTCATAGTCCTTTCAAGGACTTTCCTGAAATATTCAGATTAATCGGATTTAAAATAATGTTATAGTATATTTCAGGTGCAAGAGTCAGCAATAAACACGCGTGATCAGCGCGTGTTCAACTGCCGATTGGTCGACAAATTTGGGGGTGGATTTTTCCAAGCCAGTTTTACACTGTACCGACATTTCGTTGCCGGTGTGGTTCATTGTTTACTCATCCCTTACGTTGTGCCGCCTCACTGCTTTCGTTGCCTTGCTTGCTTATCTATGTTCGTTACAATTATTTGCTGTGACGTAGTTTGGCACTGAATTTAAAAATCAGAACTTAAAAGTTTTCTACAGTGTAACACGGGCTAGGTGCAGTAATGTGACACGCACTCGGCTCCAGGATGCATCATGCAGATTTCACGTGATCAGTGACTCTTTCGTTTGAACAAACTTTAATCGAAATAAAGGCTATCCGCCTTTAACAGATAGATTCAGTTACGCCGTCCCTTTCGCTATGCAGAATTTTTCAGTCATTTCTGTAGCCTTAGTGACTCAGGAAATAAATTTTTAGAGAAAACACAAATTTTGGGTTAATAATAGAGGCGCGAAAACAACTACAGCACATAATAAATATCTACGTAGCAATAAAATTAAGTCAGCATTACAATATTTAGAAAATAAAATCAGCACTACACAAAATTTCACGCCATATTCTAATCGCTTTAGCTTGGAAAAATGATGTACTTACGTTCAACAGGAATTAATTTTCCGTAGATGATAATGGCACTCGGTGCAATTTTTTGTAAAGGTACAACACCCGGGGTATTTTCAACAATTTGACTTATAACTTCATTAATTGTTCCAGCTGCATCTTCTGTAATATTAACGTTTAACAAAATGAACTTTAAAAAAATAAAAACAATATAGACCATAAGTTTCATTCCATTGTGCTTGGAAGTTTCTAGGAATTGGTTTACTAAACGGCACTTTTTTAATCTTCGTTTTCTCTTCACCAGCGTTCGTCAACATATCTAAATCTAAGCCAGGAATGGTCGTGTTGCCCTCGGAACTCACCGATGTTAATTCCACTTTATCATCAGGTCCCATTCCTGGGATAATTGACGGCTCCTCTGTAAAATAGTATTAGGCAAACCGCCCCAGCAACAATATTACCAAACGCACCACCCACATCCACATCTTCTAACCCAGCAATGCCTGCTGGAAGCGTATTTAAATTATATTTATCCCTCATTTGGTCGCCCGGCCGATTCCTGGTCCAAAATTTACTAGTATGATCGTTTGACCCCGAACATAGAATGTGTCCCAAAGGGTGCCACGCCAGCGTCCACACTATACTATCATGTGCTTGCTCTATAGCTCCTACTTCCTTATCCGCTCTGAAAGACAAATTGTAACTTCTTGCAAGAAAAAAGAAATTAGCAAGTACCCAACGTGCCAAAACATAATAGAGCCATCAGATCCGCCACTAGAAAACAACCCTTCGTGAACAGGATGCCATGCGACGCTCGACGCTTCCTTCTTATGGCCTCGGAAAGTCTGTACTTCTTGACTAAGATTCCTCAGATCAAACAATTTGAGAAGATGGTCACGGGATGCTGTTATTAACCAATTACCGTTTTCGTTCCACTTGAGGTCCATGACAGTTGACTTGTGCGCATGCCTAAATATAAGTGACGTGACTTAAGTATACAGGGAGATCAACCATACTCACAAAGTAGCTAAAGACTGTCCAGTTTTAGGATCCCATAATTTAATGGGTTGCTGGTTATCTTTGCTACCGGACACGATAAGCCCCTTTTGCGGGTGCCAATGCACGCATTTAACGTCAGCACCGTGACCTACAATTAATATGATTTATTTTCCAACGTTTTAAGTAATTTGATACATGTTAATTTCACTGTAACTTTTCATCATACGTAATTGCCGGCCCTTGGCCTTACCTCGCAGTATCCTCTCCTCCTGGTACCGGAAAAAGTCCCATATTCGAAGCGTACCGTCATCTGAGCAAGTTACAAACTTCGTATCCGATGGGCTGAAGCTAAACAACACATTCACAGTCATCACACAGAATAAAAAGTTACAGTTAATATACTATTTAACCATTAGTGCAGAATAGTCCTTTAATTCAAACTCAAAGTGTACAAAATAAAAATCCAATTCAATTCAATTCAAAAAGTGTTAAGTGGGGGTTTGAATTTGTGCGCATGAATAAAACACTAAGTATTTATTTATTTTATTTATAAAGATGTTTCTCTTCAAGCGGCGTCCTTGTGGAAATAAAACAAGTATGCATTTTATATTGTTTATTGTTACAGAAGGCCGGACAGTTAAAAAAATTAGACCGATCAAAAGGAAAAAATAAAAAAGCATCTCCAAACATGTTTCCATACTTTGATGCTGCAAAGTTTAAAAACAAGCTTGGAAATGTCTCTCTGAAAAATTTTTAACGAATTTATTGAAACGCAGTAATTTACACATCACGGTACAATCACAGAAAATTCTTATTTTACCATTAGTTAAATCTATCACAGCCTATGTTTCATTAACGAGAAACAACATTTTTGTGCCAACAGTTATTATTTCTGACTAGACTGTTTACTTATTAAAGAAATTGCACTAATGTAAGGAAGGATGGGGTAAAATTTATTAAAAACATGGTTTTCAAAATATATACAAACTGGAGTAATACGAAGAGAAGTTGTAGATACCTTATGCCTCTCAGAGCTTCTTTATGAGCCTGGAACATCTTCACGTTGTTCATATTGGATTGCCAATATTTTACGTAACCCGCATGATCGCCCGTTACCATCCAACTATCATTGTGGCTCCAAACCATTGTTCTTACTGGGCTGTCATGTGCCTGTGCAAAAGCAAAATCAATTGTCACTATAATTGCTTTAGCATAACTGTTAATACAGATGACAAGCCCAGATTCAGAGTGCACTTTTCTTTTAATTTATATTGAATAAAAAAATCATGCAAAATTAATTCTAAGCCAATGAATAAAACCAAAATTTAACTGCATGCAGGAAAATATTAATTTCTACTAGAAAATTTTAAAAGTCTCACTTGTAAAATAGTTTCAAAATTAAAGGTAAGGCCATTCCATAACGTAAACTCCCCCGAACTGGCACCTGTTACAAGTCTTCTACCCTCTGGTGTCCAAGCCATGCAAAATATAGGACACCTCATTTTGTTTGTTGCTGTTTTGACAAACCGCGTCGTCACGCAATTAATCGGATTATCTTGGTAACTTGGTGGTGGCATCATATCAGGATAATACATGACATCTGGTTGTAAGGCCCTTCGGTCTCTGTAGTCTCTCTGCCACACTCTTGTCTATAAAAAAAAAATGTATCAAAACTTGAAACAATCTACTACAAAACAGTATTACTTGTAAAGCTTTTATAATTGAAGAATTGTAATCTACTGTTTTCCTCATAACAGATTTTCTTAAACGTTTGCCATCAAAGTCTTCCAAAGTCATGTTGCCTAAAGGTCCTGGCAGAGGTCTCTGCATGTTCATGAAAGGACGAAATTGTGGTTTGTTGTGTCCATAACCTACAAACATTTATTAATAAAAACACTCATAATAATTGAGTTCGTTTTATTATTTACCTTGTCCAGACATGTTTGGCGGTTGCATATTATTTGGTGGACCCATATTTGGGGGTGGCATAGCCATGTTCGGGGGTGGTTGTGCGAATTCCATTATTGATCACAGCCTAGTAGAAATACTTTTTCGCCTAATGGATGTAAATTAGTAAATAGAGGGTCATGTACAGCAGCATCTGTAAAAAAACAAAATGTTTTGTGAAGGCCACATCTTCCATGTTGTACATGTGTCTCCACCACAAGGATGTGACGCGTTCATTTACTTACCCTATCATGTGATTATTTTCATATATGAAAATATAACTCTTTCTTTGTACAAAATTTGAAGACACCACGTAATATTTCGCTAGGAAAACCATAAAATAACATTCGTTTGTAAAAATTTCAAGATGGAACTTTGTTCGCAACTTAACATTTACTGCACATGCGCCGATTACTGTCGCCGCGTTTGCGTATTTTCTGCTAAATACCAACATAACAAAAACAAAGTAACTAACTGCCTGGTTGTAAAAAATCATGTTCATGTATGTGTGTGTCAAAAAAGGTTATCTTTTGTAAGCATAAAATAAAAATTGTCGTTTAACTGTTAAAAAATTATATATATTATGGCACAGGACTATGACTCAAAAATTAATTTACACCTAGATATTAACCATGGACTGGATAGGTAAAATAATCTTCAACTAACATGGAAAAAAGTGCATCAACAAATTTTAGAGTGACAGAGTTAGTCCAAACCCGTTTAATTGAATGTGGATGGAGAGACCAAGTTCGTTTAGCTTGCCGAAAAGCCATAACTGAAAATGAAAAACACATACCGACTGTGGATGAATTAATAGCCATTGTTACCCCTAAAGCAAGAAGTATGGTACCTGACTCTGTTAAAAGGGAGTTGCTGCATGAACTAGAGTCAATTTTAATTAATGTGGATAAATTTGGGTACAGTAAGAGTTTTTAGAGTTTAGGTTTATATAACTTTATGGTGTTTACATAATTTAATAGTACATTTAATTATAGCTCATCTTTCACTGTAGTTTCACAATTACAGTAATTTTGTTGTTTTATTTGTTCAACTTTTTCCATATTTTCGAAAATGTTTATCCTACTTTTGATTATTTTACTAAATTCGTTTAATAAATGGACATGATAACAAAAAATGTGTTGCGGCAGTAGGTTTTCATTGGCAAATTTCTGCCCACTTCTGGCGATTTTTTGTGCTAATTCATCATTTTCTTTTGCCCATTTTATTTTCTCAACCATATCTGATAGATCTCTTTTCATTTTTAAATAATGAGTATTTGGTATCAGATCATTGTAAAAGTGTTCATAATATTGAGATTCTTGTTTAATGACTAGCGAACCTCCTGCTAAAAGGTAGGGAAAACGATAAGCAGCAACGGTACCATCCAACGCCAGCTGGTATTTGTACTACAAAAGTAAAATGAGTTATAATTTTCAAAAAAATATATAGATACGTACATTAAAAAACGTAAAAAAAGAAACATGTTCTGATTTTGGTCCATAAATATCTTGTTTGTCTCTAAAGAAAAAGAAATTTGTTAATGAAACATTAAATATATCTGGATGTTGTCTTGAAATGTCTATAAGGTCTAATCGATGTTGGTTAGAATCTCTTCCTCTCCAAAAAGCCTTTTCTGTCCGATCCTTCCAGGAACCTTCCACATTTCCTTGTACAGACAACATGTCCAACATCACTCTAGGACAGAATAACAGCGTTCCATAGTTTTACACGCCAGTACATACCTGCCCATATTTTCAAGAGTGGACTCTGTAATATCATATGTTGGCATAATTATGTCATAACTAGTTGTGCTGCCACACCACGAAAATATGGGAAATTTTTCAGACTTTTCATTTACCAATGGCCAGTCACCTAAATTCACAAAAAATTCAAGATCTGGTAATTTAACTTTCCTACTTAACGACAGTAAAATGCTATCCATAAACATTTTAAATCCTACATATTTTCCATAACATGTACGATAAATAACATTATTTTTAATTATGTAATGGCACAAACTCACAGAATGAGGTTGGTTAAATTTTTTGATAACCTAGAAAAAAAATCTTCCCTCATATTAATTCAAAACAAACAAAAATTATAGTACCTTATCCCTAATATCATTCCAGTTAATATTATTAAATGGCTTTAAATCTGTAACGATTTGTTTTGGCACATCACGACATTTCCATCGTTCTAAGAATTGATTAACACTATAATTGGGGCAATTGCAATCATCTGGATAAACAGTCTCTGGGACGTTGTAGGGCGATTTATCAACATGTTCACCCTTGTAACGTACAATTATCTTCATGTTGAAACATGGTTCGTACATTTTATACCTTGTAATATAAAAGCCATCTTTTCTATCAAGATGATTTGTCCAGATTCGACAAGGTTTCTGAGTTTTTGAATTCCCCTCCAAAACAACATCAAATACAATTCCTAAATCGGAAGATATGCTAAAATACAACACTGTAATTGTCAAAATATAAATCACCGATATTCTTACCTATTATTATTGTTATCGAAAGCTTGAATAAAAAAATATCTCGCCGGCATTATAAATATATGTGGTTGCAACCCAGGCCCCCATATTTTCGAATATTTGACACTAACGGAAATTTCACTAGCTAAACTTCCTCTAATACTGATTAATGTAAAAATCATTAACAAATAAAAATTAAAAAGTTTAATCATTTTTGGGGTTAAAAATCAAACAGCCCCATTTTCTGACAGTTCGAACAAGAAACAAACTCAATTGCTACAAATTCCCTACGTACGTCAGCCTGTTATAACGGAACGTTATAGGGAATTTCGTGAGTACGGTTGGCTATCATGGTACACATTTTCACTTTTACCATCATCACAAAAATTTTACAACTTGGCATATTTCTCAAATTGTCAGACTTTTAATTTTGTTTAATTACCGACCGACTTATTTCGTACTCTTTTTAACCAAAATGCATTTTTTTGCGTTGTAGGAGTTGCTTTTTAATTAACTTTTACTACCTGGATTTGTTTTGTAAAAGTTAGGCGTTAGGTTAGGTTATGTAAATATATTTTTGTTGTGATTTCATTGTAAAAATTTCTTTTTACGCTGTTTAAAAGACACAATTCATAACGAATATCTATGAAAATGACTACCGTCAGCGATTTGCGCATTGCAGTTATTTGTTCAAGTAATATGAATCGAAGTATGGAGGCCCATGCTTTTTTGGCGAAGAAGGGGTTTCTAGTACAGTCTTACGGGACAGGGGATAAAGTTAAAATCCCGGGATCGGCAGCTGACAAACCGAATATATACGACTTTGGGGTGTCATATGACGAAATTTATCATGATTTGTTAAACAAAGATAAATCACTGTATCCTTTATCGTTTAAAGTGTGTGTGTTTTTTGCAGGCAGTTTATAACTTAACTTATAATAATAGATATACTCAAAATGGTTTGTTGCATACTTTAGATCGAAATAGACGAATCAAGTCCCATCCTGAAAGGTTTCAAGAAACTGACGAAAAGTTTGACATATTAATAACTTGCGAAGAAAGAGTATATGACCAAGTAGTAGAGTTTATGGAAACTAAAACACCTATAGAAAACTCAATCGTACATGTGATCAATCTGGATATTCAAGATAACTTAGAAGAGGCTACAATAGGTGCTTTTTTAATAAGTGATATGTGCACAAAGGTAATGTCGGTTTATGTACGTTAAAAATATTCAAAAATCTTTTGCAGTTGGCTCAGACTGAAGACTTGGATAATGATATTGAAGAAGTTTTACATAATTTTGAAGAGAAATGTCAGAGGCCTATTTTGCACAGCATCGTATTTAACTAAATTAAAATAATAAAACAGCTTAATGTAAAATATTCTTAAATTTTATATATTTTTTGTCTTCCTTAATATAAAGGTTTATTACAAAAAGCAATTAAAATCTCTAATGTTGATCCAAATGAGCATATACTCTTCTTAGTTTTTCCCTCTTATTTTTATTCTCATGTCTGTTAATTTTTTTCCATGGCTTTTCTCCTAGAATCTCAGCAGCATTTCTATAAATTGTTAGTATAATTATTTAAATTTTTCAAGGATGCTGACACTCACTTTCCTATACTATTAACATTTATCATTGCTTTTCCCTTCACGTGCACGCCTGGTCCAGTTTTATTGAAAAATATTTTATCTACATCTTCTGTTGTTACACGATTTTGCTAAAAATTTTAATTTAGCTGAAGTTTACATTGAATGTTTTAATATACCTTCACTGCTCTTATTTGTCTCGGTGGAGCTGACTTTTCTAAATTTCGTATTTTTTGTCTTGCTGGCCACACATGATAGTCTTTTTGGCTAACAGTAGGCGGGGCATTGCAATACAACAATTTACCATTCATATAGTCTTTCAAAATATATCTTGCAGACCTAGGGTTATCTGGTTGCCCATTAGCTGTCATAAAACCTCTATTATCTATAAAACATGTAATTAATATTCAATCTAAAACAAAATTATTATTATTATTACATGCATAAGCATTTAACAATTCTTCAGTGGTTGGACTTCTGTCAGGATCTTCACCCTCCATAGGTGCTGGTAACATTATTCCATATTTATCTTCCAGTATATACTTAGGTATTAAATGAGCAATTAAATTTACTGGTGGTACATGATCCCTCATTTGATCAATGGGTAGTATTCCATTAATTATCATTTCTGCTTTAGTATATACAAAACTAGGCGTCACTAGGCCTGGACAATCACACAACAATAAATCTTTGTCCAAAAAAATGGTCTGAAAATGCTTTGTTTTTCCTGGAGTGGCAGACACTGATACTTTCTTGACTGACAAGAGTGAATTTATTGTTGAACTTTTACCAACATTTGGATATCCTACAAGACCAATAGTAGTTACATTTTCAGTTACTTTTGGCCCTTTATGAACCCTTCTAAACAAATCTATTAACTGATGCTTTGTTAATATCTCATCTGATTGTCCAGAAATACTTTCAGTTGTGCCACTGATAAGTTTTGTAATTTCATTGAGCTTTTGTGCAGTTTTCTCAACTTCATTTTCTAAGGATCTCACAGCTTCTTGTAAGTCTGTTAATTTAGAATGTTCTTCTGAATTATCTTGACTGTGAGTAGCTTCTTCTTCTACTGGTTTTTCCTGAAGTGGTTCATTAGCTAAAGCAGCTGAATAAAACACTGCATGGGTATTAATTGATGCAAAATATTCAGACCATGCTTTTCTTTGTTCTTGAGTCAAAAAGTCAGCTTTATTGACTAAAATTAAATTCAACTTGTCTGGAGACACTTCCTTTGTGTACTTCTCTAAATCAGCACAGTAAAAAAGTAGTGGATTTCTTGCATCCACAATCTGTACAATTACATCACTTCTTTCAACCACACGCCACAGTTGTCTCCAAAACTCTAAATTTTTTTCATAAGGTGTTAAAAGTATGCCCTCGTCCTCTTGCAATTTAGCTAAACTCTTACGCCACTGCAGAAAATATTCTTTTTCACTGTGATCCAATTCTTCACGAGACATGGTGGTACTCCAAGGGGGTCTTCGCGGGATTTTTAAGTCTTGTCTATGTTTATCATGCAAACCCTTGACTTTGTTTCTTTCATCTTTACTAAGCAATCCAACATTGCTCTTAGGATTAACAAATTTTATGTCCAATTTTTCAGCTTGAAACTCTGCACCTGTTAGTTCTGCAGTAGCCAAGAATTCTTGAAACGAAGATTCCTCGGTCACGGATTGCAAATTTAACCGACCCCAATCGTAACCGTCTTGTAATTCCGTGGTGTGTAGCTAAAATTATAACGTAGTTTTATTTTTCCATATATTAAATACTATAATAGTACCATTGATTTGTCAGATGTTAACCTGCGTCCCTTGTGTGTTCCAAATCTGTCTTTTATTAATGAGCGCCCCAAATCAGAAGCCCCTTTTGATTTTTTACCCATTTTTTACGTATGCACGAGATACAATAGTAACATAAAAAACAAACGTCAAAAAATACTCCAAATGTCAAAGCGGAGATGTCAAAACATGTGGTCAGGTATACCACTCAAGCGCAATAAAAAGCTAGACGCGCAATTCGGGCGAATTAAAAGCTACGGAAAAATTTACAAGTTTTCTTGACTTATTTATTAGTATTACAATATCAGTATAACTCATTTGTTCACATTAATATAGCAAAATGACTAATTGTTGTATTTATTTTCAAAGAATCTATTATACAATAGTAAAAAACAAAAACCCTACATAACACTAGAGTTGGTGTTCATATTGTTGGTATTAAAATTATTAAAATCTATACAAGTAAAACCAAGAAGGTTTTGTCAATTTCATAAAATAAAAATTGTTTTAATTATTGTTGTGCTAGAATAGATGCTTCGTCCTGGCGATTCTTCAGATTCAAGGAGTTCCACAATAAAGGTAAACATTACGATTGTTACGTCCACAACCAGGCTTCACCGAAAAACTTGATACAAACCCTACCATTTTCAAAACAAATACATTACATCAAGCCTGAGGTTCAACAAGGTTATATTTTTTTATCGTTTCTTTGGCTGTTAAATAATTCGATGCGATAATTGATAAGTGGTTTAAATTACCCAGCGATAAAAAAATTTCGGTAAGGATATTGGATCTGCTGCTATCAAGTAAATAAGTCTTCGAAAACATGTCCAAAATACTAAACAGCCACAGTACTGCGAAAATGATGATAGAAATGTGTAACTGCCTAGCAGCCTTTGCGTCGTTCGTTCTCAGTTCCATTTCCTTTACTTTTGTATATAAAGTTGTAACAAAATAGAACAGAAATACCAGTAGAGCATAGAATCGATACAACATGTTGAACTTGGGGCAAGAGCCTAATTGTTTAGGTCGTCTCCGTGTGCTCACGTCGTAAAATGTTGGCGGAGTCGTGTCACGTGTTGAATTAATAATTGTGTAAATGTTGTTAATGATGTTGTTAATTTCAGGCTTATTTTCAGGTGTTGATACATTAAGAGGCTTGTAAATGATATCCCACTTGTTGGAATCCACTCTATTTGGATCAAGTAGCTTCCTAACTGAATTGTCTTGCATGTTTCGTTCTAGCACAAAGTAAAGTGCTATTATACAGACAACTGGTATTAAAAATATCACGAAGATTATAACAATTAATTTTAATTTTTCCGTGGTATGATTTTCTTTGTCACAGGTTTCTGGTTTACCATTGTTTTGTGTTGGTATTTCTTCACTAGTTGAGTCTTCCTTTTTCTTTGATTTTTGTATTTTTGCTTCCACACTACTGGTACTTGGTGTTTTTGTGGTACTTACTAGTAAAGACACAGCAGAATGTAAAAAAGAGTATAGAAACATCGAATTTTCCATAAATATTTCGTCAAAGCAGTCGCCTTCATTAAAGTTAGTAGCATTCGTTTCCGGCTGATTTTCTATTTCTCTGGTCTCGCTTTTTTCCAATAAGTCTTTATGCTTTTTATTAATCGCACTTTGTCGTAGTGCATTTTGCATAAAAGTTTGATAACTTAATAAAAAATCTTGGTTGGGGTATGAAGAATTTCCTAGAAGTGGTACTGTTGTAACACTAGTGGTATCTTCTATTATTTCCGTATTGGGATTTTCGTAATGTTCTGTCGTTGGATCTACACCCTCTTCAATTATAGTAATATCGTTCTCATTGTTCATGGGTGTTGGTTTTGACGTTATAACATTCTGTGCCATCACAATAGCACAATAAAGGTAAAATATTCCAATTAAAAATGTGTTGATTGATTCGGATAAAGCGGGGATTGTAACATTTTTGAAGTTGGTGTTTTTTAAAAACCGGACAAAGTACACAGATCCAACAATACCAATTAATACTAACACGACACTAATGAGAATGTACGTTACATACATTTTGGTGCACTAGTTTAATGGAAATGTGACTACCTGTTGTAATAAATTAGATGGTTTTTACCCTCATTCGCTAGCGACTAGATTTCGCATGTGGGTATGAGTTATGCTATCGCGGTTACTTTTTAATTTCAAATACAGTTACGTGATAAGTTACAGTTGTAGGGCATTATAAATAGATTTTTAAAATAATCGATATTGTTCTCAAAACTTGAATTGTTAACAAAAATTGGAAAAGGTAGAGGTATTAACGTAAATCCGACAAGAAAGCTCGCGTTTCCGTCTGTCAGTCTGTGTCAATATTTGTTTCACAGATAACCTTCGAAACTTTTGGACTTATTGTTGTCAAATTTTAGGTATTTTATTGGAAATATCGTGTAGATGGTCAATCGCTAACCAAAATTTGTCTGATCATCCCTATCAACAATTTGATGACGTCACCTCAAAATTTTGCATGGTAAATGCTATTTAAATTTTATAAAATAACATACTCCTGCACCTGTGGCTTTTGAATCCGCCTTGATATTGTCGAAAAAAAAATCAGAATGGTCTACTGTTGTGCTTGCCATGTACTGTATTTTATATTTCCTTTTAAGGATATGAAAAGTTAATTATAAGAACCTAATTGGTTTGTATGAATTTTTTCGTGTAGTGCTGAATTGTATCAAAGTCCAAATTGATATATTTTTTTATATTATTGTGTTGTTATTTTTTCTGATAAAATAAATAATGTATGTTTCTGCATCAAACTGATAACTATATGTTATACTTTTGCACATTCTACAACTAATGCTAATCTGATGAATGCAAAAATAAGCCATTTTGTTTAATTTTCTTTCGGCGTAATAAATGAAGGTTATTATACCAACATTTGACCAGCCGGTCGCGATACACTCGAGGATAAGCATCCGTTATTTACAACCGTGAGTTTTAACGAATGGTGTATGGTGTATCTATAAAGAGAATTTGCGTAAAATAAAAAATTTTAGGTAGGTTTTATTTGTAAATAGTGAGTGAGACAAAAGTACAAAAATATCGATCTAAAATTAATATGACAACACCAGAGTACGCCTTACTGTAAATTAGGTTTATTTTTGTTCATGCATTATCAGTTTAAAATAACTTAGTCACAAATTAATATGACAGTTCGATAATACCACCACACACTAAAGTCCAAAGTTAATATTGTGTGAACGCCCATTACGTTAGAATATCTTTTATTATCTATCAGTGTGCAGTGTGTAATACTCTTCAGCTTAAGTATGTCTAAAAAGATACAAACTTGGATTAGTGGCATTCTTTTACATTTAAGATTATAAAGAAGAGATATAAATCTGCCAATTTAAATGGAAGATAATATTATAATCTTCTTTTCCCATCGCCTAAAAATTTTTATTATACACTAACCGGCAAAAAACGGCCACCCTGAAATACCACTTTAAAAATTGTATTTTAACAAGTGATTTTTATTTATTTATCTCTTTTTTTTAGTTAAATCTCTTCTTTAAATAAAATAGCAATCACTAGATAAATTAATGGCCGTTTTTTTTGCCATTCAGTATATTTAATGAATGATGAAGTAATATTTGCACCATGACACTTGACACATTGGTTTATGATTTAAATATAACATATTTATATTTATTGTTTAACGCAATTTCAAGAAATTAAAAATTTTCTGAAAAACTAGTTTCATCCAGTTTTTCTGAATTATCTTAGAATCGAAATTTGAGGCCAGTTTGACTTTCAAATAACCGTGTGTCCAAAAGATTCTTTTTCCTGGTGATTGTGGTCATAGTTGAGGTATTCAAATTTTTTAGAAAATTCGTTTTTCCGTAGTTTCGATTTATCTATAGACCTGTCACCCATTAAATTCCATATTTGGAATCTACGGAAAAATCTTATGGTGTAAAATCACTTTTACTGCGTTTATCGTTATTTTTAAAAGATATATGTAATTTATCCTGGAAACCAATTTTTTCCATTTTATACTGATTTATTTAAAGATCAGGGGCAGATACATTAGCGGAGACAGAAATATTTACATTTTTTTAAAATTTACTGAAAATTCTCCATAGTGCTTTTTTTCTGGTTTGAATGAAATGGAAGATCTTATACTAAACAGAAATAAAATTAATCTTTGGAACGAGAAAAGCACGGGTGGGCAGGGTTAGTATTTCCTGAAATAAGACTAATTTTGGCAAATGACGTACCCTCTAAGAAAATACAGGGCAGGTGGGCGGGGCCAGTACTTGTCAAGATAAAACTGATTTTGCCAAATGGTATACCCTCTACCCTTTATTTTCGTAGAAGATATGTCATTTGGTAAAATCAGTCTTATCTTGACAAGTACTGGCCCCGCCAACCCCACCCCCTTTATTTTCTTAAGGATCTTAAAGATCTGCAATGTCGAATTTTTTGTGGATTTTTAAGCAATTTCGCCAAAAGCTCATTTTCAATATGAAATCTTCTAAAATGAATTCTTCTGTTGATTTCGATGTCCACAAGAGTAGTTATATAGTGGGGGTTCTAGACCAGGTCAAATGAGGTCAAACTGGTCCAGCTCCCCCATTACTTTTCATCGAGCGGTCATTGACCTTTCATTTGTTGTCGAGCTTGTCGGTGCACGTGGCTGACCTTGCCAGCTGGTCCAGCTCCCCCATTACTTTTCATCGGGCGATCATTGACCTAGTCGTTGCTCGACCTTGGTCGTTTATTGCCCTCGTTCATCTCGAGATCTATCCCCTCTTTTCGTTTAGGTCGGGGAGGGATCTCGGACGCAATCTCGCATCCCCACTTCCGTTTTATACTTGTATAAAAGTCGATGGATTCGTCTGTAGGAATTACGTTTATTGCCCTTGGTCATCTCGAGATCTATCCCCTCTTTTTTTTTTAGGTCGGGTCGCTGCACGGGGCTGGCCTTGGCTGACTTGCCTTAGGACTTCACGTGCCTGACCTGTACGATTTGGCAATGCCTTTTACTCGATCGACCTGACCCGTTTTTCCATAGTCAGGTTGGCCGAGCGGTCTAAGGCGTCAGATTTAAGCTCTGATTCTCGAAAGGGAGCGTGGGTTCGAATCCCACACCTGACAGTTTTTTTTTTTCGTTCGTTATTTTGACGTTTTGTGTTGCGATTAAATAAAACACAGTTTAATATAGTATTATTTATTGAGGAAACCTTGAATACAACCAATTGTAAATACATTTAGCATTGTTTAAAGAACAGTAACATTTTTTATTATTAGCAATATGTTTATCACATGCTGGGATTTCTTTAGATAATTTCACAGAGTCTTCAATTGTTTCGAGGTTCACAATTTTGGGGCAGTCTTTTCCTAGCGTTTCCCTAAGGTAATTTTCTTTACATTTTCCTTTTACATATAAGATCTCCACTGCATATTCCTTGATGTATTTGAACAAAATTTCTTTTACAGATATCTGCTCCTTGAAGCCGTCATTAAATCTCAACATGTGATGATAACGTTCTAGATATCTAGCTTGTTTCTTCGTTCTTTCATCGATTTCTTTGAGT